AGTCTGCTAATAATGTGCTAGGCATGGGACGATAAAAGTCAAGGAAAAGTCAAGGTTTTAAAACCATTCAATTTTTTTAACTGTTCCTATGGAATAAGTAATTTTTTTTTTTTTTTACACAACATTTTATTTAACTATTTTGGGCAACATCCAGCATCCCAGCATGCTATAATTGCTTACTTTATATGCAAAGAAAAGAAAGATATCCAAAGATGCCTTTTCAAGTTGTAAAAAATATCTGTGTTTTTAAACTAATGGAGACAAGAGAAGTCAATGATTTATTTGAATTATTAAGCCTGATATGTTTACAGTTCCAAAATACTTAAAATGTTTCTTGAAATAAAATATATTGTGTTCAATGGGAAAAAAGTTGTAGTTTTTCAACCAGACATACTGTATTTTAGAGCAGTAATCACACTACAGTAAAACCGTGATATTTTTATCTAACGTTATTATACCGTCAGAATCTTATACCGGCCCATGCCAAATATGTAGAAATAAAAGGTTACCTGGTATGTATTATACATTTTGACAAATTGGGAAAAGGTCCTTTTAATTTTTGTTTTGGTTTTTCTATTTTTTTTTCACTTTAATTCCTTTAATATACATTTTTTTTATATTACCACAAATGAGAAACTTGCTTGCATTGCACTTTTGTTCAAGATTATTAAAATTCTAATATTTAAAAGTTTTGTCCTCACCACTGGCCTGCTTGGTTTGGGACTCGTGGAGCTGTGCATCGATGGATTTGCTCTTAAGTTTTTGGACTTTAACCAGTGAAAATTTAACCACACTGAATAGAACTAAATTGAACTTAAACTCTGAAAACTGGACTGACACAGTTTCAGTTTATTAGAAGTTCTATGTTAAGCTGATTTGACACAATCTACATTGTAAAAGCACTATGTAAATCAAAATAAATTAAATTGAATAGTATAAATATAATAAATGTAAAATATGGTCAAATAAATATATGAGTTTATAACACCTGAAGCTTCCAAAATGCTTATCTACATGATTTTAATAGTGTACCCTGCTTTGGATGTAAGATCATTGAAGTGTAGCTTAAACACTGTGCAGCTTTTTATATAATCTGGTCATTATACTGTCAAATATTGTTTAAAAAAAAGTATTTAGTACTTTTGGATGCTGTTTTCCGTCATTCGGAATTCCTTTAAAATATGGTCCCAGAGACTACAAAAACATCTAATCAAGTATATATTTTAATGCTATTAACTTTAAAATCCAAATAATTTTGCCCTTTGGCAACCTTTAAGTTATGTTTTTTATGTCTGCTAATGCATGCATATAATCTATACACTGTTACCACAATTTTCCCCAAAAATCCATATCCAATACAAAGTCAAAACTAATTATGTGCATACCATGACATTTTGCTCAGGATGTAAATCTAGCATGCTTTTTTTTGCCACAAGTGCTTAAATATCCTCTGTTTTATGTTGTCTTGCACAAAACAGACTCTTGTTGTCACTAGTCTAGTTTATTTATAAGTAAAATCACATAAGGTATAGCATAAGAAAAATCTACAACATACATAAGGGGTAAAATATTATGGCAAGGCACTTTTATAGGCTACTTTTTGGCATGCCACTTTAACCTTTTTACTAAACCCATCTAGCCACCCCATTAATTGAATGTCCTTAAGGCGCCACAGCATGCTCTCCGTCGAGACCCGTCCTCTTGCTCTGCTTGTTCAGACCCATCCTTTCTATCTCTCTCGTGCACAGACACACACACCGCGCGCGCCACGATGATAAATTTACTGCAGGAAAGGGTCAAAGCGCAAAATCCGTCTTGCTATCACTGTTGCATTCCACTACTCCCCAGTTCTCCAGAAAGCTCTTTCGTCTTTATTTCTTCCTTCCTCCCTTCGTCGCCTTATATTTAATTTAAGAGGGATAAAACACTTAATCATAGGCTTACTGCCACAACAGGTGCCTAATTAACAGTGTGTTAAAATAATGCAGTTTGAGTAGCCTGCAAAAGACTGACTCCAGATGCTGACGCGCTCAAACCAATTTATCGATGACCGCCTAAACTGCTACTGCAGAATATGCAGAAAACATAGCTTTTAATCAAACGTGTTGCATTCGGGTTTTTAGACTGCATTTGATTATTAACAATTTAAGGTGCAACTTGATTTGGTACTTTTACATTATTAAATTCATTCAATCGGCTTTCTACCAGCATTCCAAGCAATCAACTTTCAGATAAAAGTTGTGCAAACCTTTTATTTGCAGTACTGCAACAAATAAATCAACTGCCATCCATTAAAACACATACCGCTGACTTCCCGAGGCTCTGCGCTTCCTGTGGGCTCAGTGTCCACTTTACGTCCGCATCTCCCGAGCCCTTGAACCAGCAACTCCAGGGGCAACTCCGAATCCGGCTTGGGATAACACCGCAGACCACTGGAGCATCTCGGTGTGTAAACGCCGCACTGCTCACCCTCTTGTCGGGCACACACGGGACAGCAGCCGCAGCCCGGCTCGCGCACAATCTCTCCGCACGTCTCCGTGAGCATCGGGCAAGCCGCCTGGCGCTCCGCGGTGCAGCTCGGACAGCGGAACACCATTTCTGAGCGAGCGGTACCGTGAAAAGTCACCAATGCCAGCAACAAGCCGCAACTCACATAGGACAACATCGTGTCCACGATATAAAAGGTCTAAAAATCGGAGGACTAACTTGTGCAGGTAAGAAGCGCACTCGGACAGGTGACGGCTAACTGGAGCTGCTGCGGCTCCTATCAGTGTTCATATGCCGCTGACATCATAGGAGATGACAGGCGGGCTGCAGCTTTGTCAAACAAATCCTCAAAGGGCAACAGTGCCAGAGCCGTTTTCTGTTAGGCCTGTCCTGCCTCAATTTTAGAGCATATATTTTAATACTAGCTAACGCTTTTTGTGTTGTTTAGACTGTCAATCTTATTTAACAATATTGCAGCTCCATGGAGCAAGTAACCAGTCTGAGCTCCAGCAGACATTAAGTGAATTCCTGAGTTAAGCTAGACCAGCAGGGTCTTGATAAATTCAATGGCTTAATTAAATCAGATTCTTGGTGATAATTACCCTGAAGTGGAATTTTATTTATTAAAGTTATTTATTTTCAACTGGGGGAACCCGTCCTCCTCTAAAACACCATACAAAAATTCACTTAACAATGTGCAGATCGGCTTATGCTTATCAAATACATGTAGTATTGTAAATATTTTAAAAAAATAATTACAAATATTTTATTGATGATCTTTATAAATAGGTATTGCTAAGCAAATAAACAGTTGAGAAAATTTTGTGCTGTAAACATATGCATATCAAAACCCACTGACATTATAAATGACACCTATACCTATACAGGCTGAATGTTGTAATCTCTCAGTTGCCTATTGATTACAGGGGCCAGGAATCAAGATATCATGCTTACCATCCAAACAACCATTAACCCATCCACAGTAAAGCCTGCACTCTGTTCCCCTCTGAGAATTCCTTGTTGTTTATTTAACAGTTCAGAAATATCTGCATGCTTCATGCCAGATTGGCTATAGTTGTCAAAGTGAAATAAATGAGTATTATTTTTCTATTCGGGTGCCCTCTAGTTTTATGGGATGTTATTTGTTGACGGCAGGATTTTATTTAACCTTAATTTTGGTAAAAAAGGGGAACTTTAGAAATAAGCTACCTGGTGGGTATCGTGCTGAAGCAGGATAGTGTTTGAAAAACATCATGTCAGCTTTTTGGAATCTCCTAAGCACTATGTCAGTGAACCCATAGCTTGTACATCTGGTTTTCTGTAGGATTTTGAGGGTTATAAGCCCTCTTGCTTTGATAGTTACAATACTATCTCCAGTTGTTTAAGTGCAACTCTCTATCAAGGACATTTCTGAGTAGACAAGTGACACACTTCACTAATGATCAGAATAACTTCAGTAGCACTGTTCATATCAATAGATAGAATTGTTTTTACTAAGATGAATTTTATTAGTACATTTTAAGTGAGAGGTTTAAGCAGGGTTTTTACAAAAGTCTATATCTTTATAGCTATCTATTATTTTGAATATTAAAAAAATGCACACCATTTTTCTTCAGTAGTTTCCAAGTAAATACATTTTACATAAAAAATAAAAAAAAATATGTTTTAAATGATAAAATGTATATATAATTTATACAAAATTATACATTTATGTAATATTAAATATGATTCATAGACCTAGTTCAAATTTGTTTTTTCAAAGAAAAAAAAAAGAATCCCAATGAGGTAATAACATTTTGGATGTGCTTAATAAGCACTAATTCTTTTATTCTTCTATTTTACAATAGGCCTATAAGCAAATGATTTTAAATTGTGTGTAGTCTTACTGAACTGTGTACTCAACTGACTTGTTCAGTGCATAGAATTGAATTGTGTACTTTGGAATAGTTTTCTGGGGTTTAGTGTTTGATTTCCAAGAAAAGCAGATTTTTGTGTAGTCAGTGTGGACACAAGCAAAAGAACAAACATTTTTGGACATACAGTTTTACATGTCTACCATAAAACGACAGTTTCACAGTGATGTAAATACTGCTGTTTTGCACTTTAAGACATTGTAAAGATAGCACTTTCAATGAGATACGCAATTTTTGACTGAGCTGTGAGGGTGAATCTTCAAAGAAACAAGATTATTCTTTACCTGTTTTTATGTTTTGTTTTGTTTTTACGCATTTTTATTATTTGTTTTTATTTTTATTTTACTTGTTTCTTTTATTATTGTTTATGTAAAGCACTTTGAATTGCCATTGTGTATGAAATGTGCTATATAAATAAACTTGCCTTGCCTTTAATAAACAAACAATTGCAGTTAAATCAGGATAATCGATGTAATGTTCTAAAGCCATTACAAACAACTTACATTGAAAAGATGTTAATCTTTGGTATTGTGATGGATGTGGAAATAAACGCAGGAGGGCGCGCTTAGTTAAATAAACACTTGTTTGGCTGCTTCGGGCCGCCGTACCTTTAAGAAACAAGATCATATGACCGTTACCATCAGGATGTCAACAAACGTGAAAGGGAATTTAGCTGAACTAATGCCATGAATCTTAATGCTTGTTCAAAATTGAGCTTAATCTTAATTGTGACTACGAGTCACGTATTTTTGGAAACATAAGGTATGTTGCAGCTCATTCCTGAGAACAAATATGAAGCGAGACTATTCTTAGAACGTCAGTAAGAGTTGCCAGTTCCGTTCTCGGTTAAATGTTGCTAATGTGTTATAGTTTTATCAGGATTTGTGATAGTATATTTGCTACATACGATTGGAGCTTGTCTAGAACCCTGGATTTTTGTAAACATATTTTAAATACAAATAATAATTCATCATCTTTACCGTAGAAATGTTGTATTGCCCAATCTAATTTAACGTTATAGAAAAAATACAATTATGCTTACAAGTTAATAATGGTCCCCACTTGTAACGTTATGTATTTGGGTTAATTCTGTTAATATGTTTCACTCTCTTTAGGATGTCATCCACTCAGGCTGGTCAGTCAAGGGTTGTACACAGACTTGCCACATTACTGCGAAATAATGGTACAACAATTGCTGTTTATTTTTTTGGATTGTTTTGTTTATTCCAGTAGTTTAACCAGGGACGTTTTTGTTCACAGTAGTATATACTGTACATAGGGGATACATTTTACAAACAACAAATCAAACCTGTTGTTTACTTAAAGATAATGTTAAGTAATAATTACCAGTAGTATAATTACATAAAAATGAATCATGCCTGAATAGCGTAACTGAAAGTGCAAAGATAAATTATACATGGACATACTTTTTCTTTGCATGCAAGCATTTGGAATTTGGATGGAGTACAATTAAGACAGAAAACTGTTGTGAGTTTAGAATTAAAGTTCGCTTTATGTTAAAGACATGGGAGACAAATCAACTAAATCATTCCAAACAATTCAATGTTCTTCATAATTTGCAATACATGTTTATTTATTTAGCACATATCATACACAATGATAATTTAAAGTGCTTTACATAAGCGAGAATAAAAGAAGCATAAAGTACAAGAAATAAAAACTAAAAAGAATAAAAATGATTAAAACAGAAACCAAGTTTTAAACAGATTAAAAGATGTTGATATGTTAAAACATGGAAACAAATCAACTAAATAATTCTTAACATTTCAACATTCTTCATAATTGAAAACAATAAATCTGGAGACTCCAGAAAAACGAACAATGTTAAGTATTTGAAGATTTTGTCTTTATGTTGACTTGGATTGAGTCATTTAAATTAACTGTGCTTTTATAATGATGTACAGATGCTCAATATGTTTAGGCTTTGCCTTTGAATGCTTGCCGTCAGTTTTTTTTTAAATTATAACAATCAGGTTCTTGTTAATTTTTGCATAGGTGACTCTGTACTGGATGGTTCCAGCACGCTCACTCTGCAAGTGGGATGCTTACAGCACCTGACACAACTCTTCGAGCGGCACCTTCTTTCACGCACACATCAGCATGGTTTTCTGGCTCTGCCTTCGCACCCAGCAGACACTGCCTCCCTGCTGGAAGTCCAATTTCTATTTGACATGCTGCAGAAGACAGTATCACTCAAGGTATTGAAGCTTTTGATGATGTTCTGAGGTGTCTATTATTTTAAAGTAGAGTAATTCAAATGTTAATCATCTGAGAAATTTTGATTTCATGATAATAAAGAATACATTAATTTTTGTAAACAACTTCCATTTTCCAGGTTTCTTAAGGAATCATTATTATTCATTCATTCATTTAAATACGTTTTTAAATATAGAGTAATTGTGGCAATGATCTGATTTTGTTCATCTGCAAAACAGCTTGTTAATCCACCTGGTGTGAAACTACAATATGTTGTGAAAATATTCCCTTTCAAGTCCCTCAAACACTTAGAGGTATTTCAAAATAATTTATCCATCTAGTTCAGTTATACGTGTTATTATGTATTATTCTGCCCTGATATCTGAAAATGTGTTTTTGTGGTTGGTTTTCTTTCTGTTTAGCTAAAGCGCATTCCTCCTCATTGTCTGGAGGGTCTTAGAGGAGTGTATTCTCAGTTGGAAGTGTTTACTTGCTCAAAAGGTGTCAGCTCTCTAGAGGTATTTTTTGTGCCAGAAAGCACTGTTGTAGTGAATAATGATCATTTACAGAAACAAAGTAATTTTGTGTGTCTTTTAACAGGAGCTTCTTTCTTTGTGTGGAGGAGATCTCAGTTCAGCTTTACCCTGGTTAGAACTTCAAACCCTTAATTTCAGTTACAATTCCATTTCCTGTCTCGACGAGTCACTAGTAAGAATCTTTAAAATGGAAAAGCTGAAATAGAGTAACTTATACTGGAATCTGCATGGAACACTTTTGTTTGATGTAACACTTTTGTTAAATTATTCAGAGTCTATTAAACGTGCTGAAGTGGCTAGACTTAAGCCACAATAAGATAGAAGACTGTGCTGAATTTTTAAAGGTAGGCTGCTCTTATGCATTTATTTATCAAATACCAAACAGAATCATTGCCTCTCTCTCACTTGCTTTCGCGCGCTCTCTCTCTCTCTCTCTCTCCCTCTCTCTCTCTCTCTCTCTCTCTCTCTCTCTCTGGTTATACTTTATATACAGAAGTGCTAATTCTTGTATAGTTTTAAATACCTAAGAAAGAAAATATTGCATTGCCAAATGTAAACTCTTATCATAGGAAAAAACTAGCTGTATATGTTTGTAGAAATGTGGTTAAATTTTTTATAGCATAGTACAAACAAAAATCTTTATTTTAATTTTGATAAGTTTGCAGACTGCAACAGTACCTTGTGTTTTGTAGTTGAGAAAAAAAATGTTTTTTTTTTTTTTACCTTTTTGTAATATTGTGATTGGTGAATGCTTTTTAAACAATGTTTTTAAAGAATTTTGGGGGAAAACATCTGGTTATGACATCACATTGTTAACCATGGCCCTTCTTGATTTGCTGTTTGTAAATATCATAAATATTAGAGTGAATGTATTTATTTATTTATTTATTTATTTATTTACTTACTTATTTATTCTCTTTACTTTCTCCATTAAGCCACTTACTGAACTGGAACACCTGAATTTAGCTTATAATAACCTCCAGAGAGCACCTGTGCTGGGCTTGAGTGCTCAAGCCAAACTCACCACCTTGATCCTTAGAAACAATGAGCTGGAAACAATCAATGGTGAGTTTTCTTTTTATTAGCAGAATTGTATTACCATGATTATTTTCTTTGACTATTTTTTGCTCTAAATATGACTCTATATGTTTTTTATTTAACACTTTGGCTCTTTTTTGGTTCTTTATTTTTAAATTTATCTTAGTACTGTGTGTCTTTGTTTCTTCAACCGCGTACAGTGTGTGCTTTTCAGAATGAGACAATTTGAAAGAAATATCCTGGAACTAAAGTAAAAAAAAAAAAAAACTACCGGAGTGTTAGCAAAATAATCATTGCTGTATTTTATTTTAGTTTAAAACATTTTGTTCAGTGCTTATTTGTTACACATTTTAGTATTAAACAGCTACATGTACAGAGTGTTATTGATACCACATTTTGTATGTTCTGTTTTTGAATAGCTATAATTGGTTTGAAGTGAATGTACTAAAATAAAGGTTAAGGGTATTTCATCTAAAATGTATTATCCTAACTGCAGGGGTGGAACAGTTGTCGTCACTTCAGTGTCTTGACCTGGCTTATAACCTTCTTATGGAACACTCTCAGCTGGCTCCTTTGTCTCTCCTTCATAATCTCAATACAGTAAGTTAGTAAGCCTAATTCATCCTCAGCTAATCAAACTACCATATTTACCAAAGTGATTATGCTCAATCACAGATGTTGGTTCCAGCATAATTATGATGCTCGGGTTTTAAATCCGGGCTTGATGAAGTTTTTTGGGGGGTTTTAACAGGATCTAGGCTTTGCTACAGTCTAGATAAGACACATCTTTGGCAGGTTTCCAGCTTTAGAAATTGGATCTTAGAATCTGAATCTGAATATTTCTGTCTGAACCATGTGACTTACAGTATCTTTGATTCCTCTGTCTTCCCCTATATATCATCTTGAAAGTTTTCAATTCTATTTTCAGTTAACTCTTGAAGGAAACCCATTGTATTTTCTGAAGACACACAGGGCATCTGCTGTCTGTCATCTTTCTCCAAGAGCTGCTTTCAATGGAGTGAGTCTTTCTTGTTTTTTGTGCATATTTTCAGATGAGACGTCCGTCTTTCGCATGAAACGTTAAACCGAGGTCCCGACTCTCTGTGTTCATTAAAAATCCCAGGATGTCCTCTATATGTCCTCTATTTCCCAGGAAATCGCTCTATAAATGTAAGACATTATTTTAATAATGAAACTGTACTGTACTCCATATAAGTGATATGATGCTTCATATGACGTGGCATCCTTAACATCTGAATCAGTCACTCGATTGATCCAAATATTACTTAAATGAGCATTTACTGTACTGTGTAGGTAAACGGATTGTGTTGATTTCTGTTTTCATGTTTACCATAGTAACCAGAGAGAGGTGCCAGATATCATTCTCAATTGTAATCATGACATGTTTGCTTGTAATTCTTTCTTGCTGTTCTGCAGATGTTTTAGAGTTGTATACTTAGATTTAATTTTCATGTCATATTGTGTTTCAGCTCCAGCTGGATGGCACCCCTCTGTCCCAGTCTGATCTGCTGGTGGGTATCAAATGTCACTTTGTCATCTCGGATCATTCCACACTTTTTTCTCATTCATTTCATGTTTCATTGTGGGAGGCATATCGGCTTTTTATTTGGAGTAGGCAACAAAGTGGTTTACTTCCTCTCACTAAATGGAGTTCTCAAACTTCAGATGTACATGTTAAAAGGGTGGTCCACTACGCTGTCTTACTTTAAACTTTAGTTGATGTGTAATATAGCGGTGTGAACATAAACAACATCTCTGAATGTCATTTGCTCAAAGTTAGATGCAAAGGGAGACACTAGCTTTTACAGAGTTAACTTGGCAAACCCTACAGCGAATGAAGTTTGGGCACTACAAAACTATACATCTGGGTTAATGAGATCATAAACCCTTCAGGTTTATCTGTCAAACCCCTGGAAACACCCACAATCTTCACCAGCGATGCAACATCTCCCTAGCAGCCGCTTTCCCTGTGTCATACATATGTATGTACGTGTGTGTGTGTGTGTGTGTGTGTGTGTGTATGTGTGTGTGTATATATATGTGTGTGTGTGTGTGTGTGTATGTATATGAGTGTGTGTGTGTGTGTGTGTGTGTGTATGTATGTATGTATATACGTGTGTGTGTGTGTGTGTATATTTATATACACACACACACACATGTATATACATACATACATAAATACATATATATACACACACACACATATATATATTTTTTTTTAAAATATATTTTTTATATATATTATATATATATATATATATATATATATAGCTATATATATATATATATATATATATATATATATATATATATATATATATATATATATATATATATATATATATATATATGTTACAACTATATTACAAATACATATAGTTAGTTCTAACATTTTCTGCATTTCTTCTTCCATGTTAGCAGAGGGAACCATGCTTATGTTTAGTGCCACCAATATTCACATGAAATTAATGTATTATTAATATAAAAAATACAGTCTCAATAAGATTTTCTGAAGGAAGCTTTTTCTAAAATGCTAAATTATTTCAGCACTTTGCGAGAAATGTTCAGAAATCATGTCATCAGCAATCTTATGTGTATTAGCAAAAAACGGATTTTTCTGACGTCTTAAAAGCTTTGTTCATCCTTAAAATGATCATTTACTCACAATTTTCTCAGCCTCATGTGTGATTAACTATTACACATGAGGGTGAGTTTCTTTCCTCTGGTAAAAAGAAGAAATTTTAAAGAAAGATGAATACCTGTAACCACGTTTAACACCTGTCAAATCCAGGTAGATTTTAGCTGTGGCAGGAAAGACTCATTGCCACTAGCCACTCTGGTGGGTTGAGCATACTCTTTAAATTGTTGTTAAAAAAAAAAAAAAAAAGCCTTGTAAAAATAAAATTAAATACAAATTGATAGTAAGAATCCACAACACTCATGAGCAATCCTTGCAACACAATGCTAGCTAATGTGCACTACTGAGTCACACAATACACACACACACACACACACACACACACACATACACACACACACACACACAAAAAGTATTAGGAGCTGTGTTCACACCAAACATGGAGCACCACGTAATTTACAGTCAATTATTTGAACTTGCATGGTGGACACAATTAAGACGAATTTCCTGCATTTGCAAACATCACTCATCTCATGTCATTCACACCACAACATAATAATTAATGATAATTAAACAACATGATAATTTCACCTATTTGCGTTTAATTTGCATGTAATTTGCTGTACTATATAATATACCGGTGTGAACCCAGCAGAGACAGAATGAATCACTTTAAATCTTGGCACCCACAGTAGTCTTTCACATCCACATTCTCATATCACTCATACACATATAAAATGTAAATTTGCTTTAATGAGTTTTGTGGATTTTAATTGATTAGCCAAGATGATTTTTCTTCTTTGTATTTTAATGCAGAGACTTATTTTTCTTCTCTGCAGCATTACAGAATTAACTGCTGTTGTTAATAATTAATTCTTTTTTTTTTTTTGCGTTAATATTATACACATCTGCACCACTTTTATCATATTTATTATGACCTGTAGGTATATCGGGTATATAGTAGACAACATTTAAAGTAGATAAAAAAATACAAGTAGTTTAAGACAAGAACAGGTATTGCTTTGTGTTTAGGTCAACTATGATGAACAGTTACCAGTTGGTTTAGCATGTGTTTCAAAATTTGTGTGGTCAGATTGGTTTTAAATTAAGTAATTTTAGCAAGGCAAATTTTGTAAAGCTACTTTTGCAAGTTGTGCTTGTAGCCATTGACTTCCATATAGGTAAAGCAAAAACTATGGACGTCAATAGTTTACAGGTTTCCAACATATTTTCAATGTCTGTTGTTTGAAACGAGTGAACAATGACATTTTTTTTTTTTTTGAGCGAACCAGGTATTTAGCAGTGATTACAAGCCAAAGGTAGCATTCACTTCATTCAAAGAGCTATTAGTCCCATACAAAATTAAATGTTTTAAAATTTTACTCCTAAATTAATCTCATAAGCTATTAAATTCAAAGATGACATGATGAAGATGTAGTAACATATGTTGGAATGTCGAAAAATAAACAACATTCATAATGTTAAGGATATTTTGATCTATGGTAGGGAGTTATTAAATTTTATAATCTGTTAAAAGTGTTTATGAGTAATATACTTATATAACAACAAACTTGCTGTAAACTTAAATTGTATATGACTTATGCTTTTTTAATAATAATAATAATGCAAAAATAAGGATTATCTTTTAAAATTTACAGTGTAGCATTGGACCAACTTTTTAATATATATATATATATTTGCCGCTCTTGTTCTATGATTTATTTGCATTTTCCTTCCAACAGCTAATACCTAAACCCGGACAGTTGGTTGGCCAGCTGTCCCATACTTCTTTAGTTGCTATGGCACAAGACCAAGATGGGCAGGATGTGTCCAGTGGTGGAGGGGACATGACTGATAGTCTGTCTGTTTCAGGAGCAACCCGAGTTCGAAAAAAGAAACAAAAAGTAAGTTCATGTCTAAAACCTGCCCACATGTTTTGTATACAATTAAACAGCCTAGTTTTGAGCATTACCTTCATGTAGAGGTAACACAAATGTGTGCATGTAAAATGTCAGTTTTTCAAAAATCATAAATAGGCCTGTCACAATATATATTTTTTTTGTTATATAAAAAAAATAGTTTATCACAAAATAAATTGTGATAAACAATATTATTTTCATTTCAAGATAATTTTATGCCCCTCATTATATAATGTCAGAGCAATACTATAATAGCATCAAAATGCAAGTAGACTCTTTCAAAGAACACATTGGGCTCTATTTTGACGATCCAGGTGCAAAGCGCAGGGCGCAAGCCCATTAAGGGCATGTCAGAATCCACTTTTGCCATTATAAGGATGGAAAAATCTGCTTTGCGCCATGGCGCATGGTCTAAAAGTGTAGAGCTTGTTTTCTTAATGAGTTATAGGTGTGTTTTGAAAATAAACTAATCAGAGTCTCATCTCCCATTCCCTTTAAGAGTCAGTTGCATCGCGCTATATCACATTTGCTATTTACTTGACGGACTTTGTAAGTGAAAAAACTGAACATTTCACTAGCAAGAAAAAAGTTAAACAGAGCATCTGCAGCGTGAGAATGAGAGATGAGGCCTCTTTGTTATCTACTTTCACTTTCGCTCTCGTGGATAAGGAAACCTTGTACGCACAGACATAAATTAGCCTATAAATAATTAATTTCATTTGTTAAGCGCAAAGATTTGTTTCAAAACTATTTCTAAATTCAGTTCTAATTTCCAGCAAACAAATAAATGAACAATAATAACGAAGTGTGCTCAAAAAAAGAGTTATATCCAAATACACATGCTGTGCCCCATATGTTCTAAAACCTGACAGGTCGGCAACTCTAAGCTTGTTTTTAATAAAACAAATATAAATATGGATATAATAAATAATACTACTAATAATAATAACATTATACAAAAGCAAAATGTCACGAATAAACTGAAAAAGCCCCCTGAGAGGAAGAAGGCATGAAAGTATGGTTTTTATATTTATGTAGGCTAGAAAATATTATGTTTTGTAATATTTTAATTCTATATATTTATATTCTATATATATATATATATATATATATATATATATATATATATATATATATATATATATATATATATATATATCCTTATTACATTCTATATATATATTCTTAATATTTAAATAATTTTTAATATTTAAAGATATTTACGCTGGACTTTAGACCGGCTTTGTTCTGGTCTATAAAACAGACTTTTATAGTTTCTCAAAATAGCCACACGCCAGCAATGCGCCTACACGCCTCCCTTTTTAGACCAGAACGCCTAAATGAATTTTCTATTTAAACAGCGGTGCTCAAAACGTCAAAATGACTCTTGCGCCAAGCTGAAACAAGAAAACAACAATTTCGTCGCGCCTTGTGCCACATTGCACCGGGTGTATGATTGGGCCAATTGACTTTCATTCTTAAGTACATTTCATTTAATTATAATCATTTTAAAAATTTAATAATGAGGCTTCAGAATCAGAATGTGAAAAGGTATGTCCTAAACAAATAATTATTAAAAAATATAAGAACAAAAAGAGCAAAGTAAAACGTAACAGAGGCTGCAATATCCAATATCCATGCAAATTCCAGACCTATTTTCAGTTATGATACACCCTCATGAAAATAAAGTAATTTATAATCAATACTATATTGTTTTTCTTTACCCATACTGACACCCCAAAAGACATAGAGAGATTGCACAATCAGCTAAAATGTTGCTAGAGTTGTTTTTTTATGTATGGGAGATATATATTGCATCACTAAAAAAAAAAAAAAAAAGGTTTAGGATATGTCCATGTGTTGTGCAATAAATCGATATATTGATTATTGTGACAGGCCTATGCATAATAAATAGCTTTTTTTCTTAATGCTGGCCTATAATCTTTATTGGCTGCCTGTGAAAACATGTACTTTGATCCACCCTCAAACACTGTAGTCGCTGAGGTTTGTAAGAGTTCATGTAAACATTGTCGACACGTCTAGAAGACACTGTTTTCTGCACTGAAATATACTTGTTAAAATAATTTTGCTGTGGAGGAACCAAAAAACAAGAACTTCTAGGACTGAACCTCAGAAATCATGAAGGCTATTTTGTTTCTGACTTGTGCAGCAAGCAATAGGCCAGTCAAACAGATTAGGTCATTTGATTGATCAGGGTAAAGTTGACCTTCAGAAAAGAGAGGTTAGAGGGAATGGATCCTTGAACAAACAATTTGAGCTTATATGCATGGGTAGAGCACATATTATTATTAATATTACTATTATTATTATTATTATTATTTATTATTATTATTATTAATTTAAAACATCATCATTTAGACACTAAAACTGTAAGTAAGACTAAGTATGAAAGAAAAAGCAGGCAGAATTAACCTGATTCTGTTTTGGTTTTTATTAGTGTATGGTCACAAAAGAATTGATTGATTGATTGATTTCTTGATTGATTGATTGATAGATTGATTGATTAAGAAAAGCTCTTATTTGTGATACAAAACACTAACTCTTGTCATTTGCAGAACAAGGTGAAGGTGAGGAGAGCCAGTATTTCAGAGCCCAGTGACACAGACCATGAGATCACAGTCGTGTCTGCTGTACAAGGTGATGAAAACAAGGATCACAATTACAATTACAAAACAATGGATTACTCAAAAAAATGTCTTATGACTATTAAAGTATGACCTTCTTCTGTTCTGTGGAGCATAAGAGAAGACTATTTTTATTTATTTTATTCCCTCAGAGTAGATTTTAGAATTAGTTTTTCAGAAATCCATCGTGTCTACAGTTGATTAAGTTACTGTACATGATGCTATGACAAAATAACCCATTTTATACTGTAAATCTGTGTACACTGGATGTGCCATGGCACAAAAATACTAAATTCACGAAGTTAACTGATGTCCCTTTCTGTTTCTCATATGTTTACAACTTGTGCTACTATTGAAAAAAAATTACAAATATAATTGTAGTTTGGTTTATTGCATCTGTTGTAGACAGATATTGCAACTTGACAATGGCTGTCAGGTGTACACTACCTGACAAAAGTGTTGTCGTCGATCCTTGTTGTAAGAGCAACAAATAATAACTTGACTTCTAGTTGATTGGTTAGGAAAGTGGCAGAAGGTAGATTTTTTTCTTATGAATCATCTGTTGAACTGCACCCCAATCATCACAAGTACTGCAGATGACCCATTGGACCCAAGATTCTCACAGAATTCAGTAAAGTTTGGTGAAGGAAAAATCATGGTTTGGGGTTACACTCAGTATGGGGGCATGCGAGAAATCTGCAGAGGATGGCAACATCAACAGCCTGAGGGATCAAGACGTTTGTGCTGCCCATTACATTACAAACCACAGGAGAGGGCAAATTCTTCAGCAGGATTGCGCTCCTTCTCATATTTCAATCTGCACATCAAAGTTCCTGTAAGCAAAGAAGGTCAAGTTGCTCCAGGATTGGCCAGCCCGGTCATTAGACATGAACATTATTGAGCATGTCTGGGGTAAGATGGAGGAGGTGGCATTGAAGATGAATCCAAAGAACCTTGATGAACTCTGGGAGTCCTGCAGAAACACTTTCTTTGCCATTCCAAATGACTTTATTAATACGTTATTTGAGTTATTGCAGAGATGTATGGATGCAGTCGTTCGAGAGAGTCCTACACAATATTCATTCTTTTTACCCTGTACCATGGCTTTATATTCTATACTTTACATTATTTCTGTTAAGTGACAAGACTTGTCTAGGCAAAGTCAGACCTTACTGTCCTATATAAATAATTACAAATCAAGGCATGATAATATTTTATTTTGGTAGAACAAGTGTAATCTAGAGGCCTTTGCCTTTCATATAAGCCACTTTTGATACCAAATGACCAACTAAAAGTCAAGTTATTATTTGTTGTTCCCAAAGCTTTTGTCAGGTAGTGTATACCCAATTTCTTATGCTCGGAACAATATGATATGAAAATATATAAATTACAGAATTTTAATGTTCGTGTGAGCCATCCTTTTAACTCTTCTAAATTAAATTATTTTCAATGAATTTTAACATATCAAATTGATATGATTGTGCATATATTATACATTTCCAATGTGAGTGTCTTTCTCAGATGAGATGTTTGGCTGTTTTCAGATATTGTTCTCCCTCATAAGGAGGACATTGAGAGAATGGACAGTTTTCGAGAGCAGTTGGGAGAAGACTGGCTACGCTACCAGCATCATCTTCATGATACTCCAGTCATCCCATCTTTCCCAGAAGCAGACACTGTAGTGAACACCAACGGTCACTGCACACCACCGTCTCCCCTGCTTAAAACTCACACTCCTCCAACCAGTCTGGTGTTGCTCCCCCCTCCATTGCTGTCCTCTGAAATGAAAGAGGAAGAGGCGAAAGAAGAGATGGAGAGTAGTGATGTGCAGCCTGAGACCGAATCCACCCTGCAGTGGTCAGGACACAGTCCCCTGAACACTGAATCTACGATTGAGACAAGTCTTGGAAACACTCAGGCTGCAACTGATGCATACTCTGACCCACAACCACCACCAGAGGAGGATGAGGACGATAGAGGAGGTTTGTCTGCTTTTTCTCAGGTGTTTATTAATGCTGATGAATAGTGGACAAATATTATGTCTGTGAAATCTATTTGTACTGTCATGATATCATCTGAAATCAAATTTACTAGCATGTTAGCCAATAGTTTTCATGGTACTTTAGATTTTATATTTACATTTTATCATTAAAGAGCTTTTTATTTGATTGATTGATTTATTGATTGAGTGATTGATTGATTGATTGATTGATTGATTGTCAGTTTTAAGTTTGTTGCTATTTTTAGGCAACTGAAATAGATTGCCATTAACCAACTAAATGCTGGATTGATGTCAATGGAGTTTTTATTTTTAATTTATATAAAGAGTGTATTAGTGATAGGTAACACAGAATCTGCATGTGCAGAAATCCACAGATTTTTAGCCCATCATTGAGTCCATGGGCTTTATTTTGACGGTCCATGCGCAATGCATGTCCATGCATTTTTGCTAATTTACGGACGGGAAAATGCGCTTTGCGCCAAGGCGCATGGTCTAAAAGGGTTGAGTTTATTTTCTTAATGAGTTATAGGTGTGTTTTGAGAATAAACCAATTAGAGTCTCATCTCCCATTCCCTTTAAGACCCAGCTGCGTCACGCCATAAGCGCATTCGCTATTTACAGGACACAAAGTAAGTCTAAGTGGAAAAAATGAGCATTTCACAAGCAAACAGTTAACTGTTGACAGTTTTTTAACAGAAAACTGTTAAACAGCATCTACTGCGTGAGAATAAGAGATAATGAAACTACTTTCATATTCCCGCTTGGATAGGGAAACCTTTACGCACAGACATCAATTAGACTATAAATAATTAATTTCATTTGTTAAGCACAAAGATTTGTTTCAAAACTATTTCTAAATTCAGTTCTAATTTCTAGTAAACAAATAAATGAACAATAATGACCAAGTGTGGTCAAAATACTGAGTTATTTCCAAATACACCTGCCATGCCCTATATGGTCTAAAACCTGACAGGTGGGCAAATCTAAGTTTGTTTTTAATAAAACAAATATAAATATGGATATATTAAATAATACTGCTAATAATAATAACATTATACAAATATAGCAAATTGTCATGAATGAACTGAAAAAGCCTCCCGAGACATACAAGCAGTGATTTTTCATATTTATGTAGGCTAGAAAATATGTTTGGTAATATTTTAATCCTTTATATTTATATCCTATATCTATTCTTATTATATCCTATATCCTTAATATTAAATTTTTTTAATATGTAAAGATATTTGCCTGTTGCTCTCTTGTGCGTATTAAGCAGTGTGTAAGCGAGGCGCAACTCTGCGCCGGAGTTTAGACCGGGTTAGTTTTGGTCTAATGAAAAATCTATTATAGTTTCTCAAAACAGCGACGCGCCAGCGGTCCGCCTCACAACGCCTTCCTTTTTAGACCAGAAAGCCTATGGGCTCACAAATGAGCGCTAATGCATTTGCTATATAAACAGCGTAGCACAACACCTCAAAACGACTCTTGCGCCAAGCTGAAACTACCGAAAAACTATTGCGCCGCGTATTGCACCACACTGCGCTGGGTGTATGATAGGGCCCCATGTGTTTACTTGTGTAAATGTATGTACATTTATATTTATTCAGTTTTTAAATTATTAATTATAATTTCACTAATATTATTGTGATATAATAGTAATATGAAAATGTTCATATGGTTTATGCAAAGTAGTATTTTCTGTCCTTTAGTAGATATATTATTAGAGATACTTGATTTGTTTAGCAAATAAGTGGATCTAATTGGATTTGCATTGTAAACATTAAATAAAAGTAAAAAAATGTATTATTTTTTATTCAATATACAAAGTTTTTAGTCATGATACTCCTAAAATCATTCCATATAAATCTTCAGATTTTTTTTCAAAATTCTCAGCAGAAATGACAAAAAACTCGAAAATTCGTCTGGCCCTAGTGATAGGTGCCTTTGGGCAGGTCCAAAACACACATATACATTGCTAAATTACACACAAGGATTCACAGCAGCACTGAAATATGTCCAAACATGTAAAAATGAAGGATTAAAATGTCAAATATTACTAGTGTCTACATAAAAACAAAAAAGCTACCTCCTCCCATGCCTTCTTTGCCTCAGAGGGCTTTGGTGGAAACTGGCTTGTTTAATAGATAGTGTGCTCATTTGCTTTACAATCTGCCATGAAAACAGCAAATCTGCTTGTGGACTTGTTAGAGTCACTGCTGGTAAGAGAATGGCGAGTCAAACTTGTCCTTTTAGATGTCAAAGTTTAAATCGATGCAAGCTAGTTTGTTTCAACAACCCGTCCCATTATGTTCGAGAATAGAGAACAAATGCAGTCTTAGTAGCTGTTTGAACGGATTCAGCCATGTGATATTCTGCAATATGGGGCAGGGATGGGAATGAAATAAGATAAGATAAACTAAAATAAAAATAAATAAATAAATAAAAGACTATGAATTTAGTGCAAATAAGACAGTACAGACAGGACAGGACAGGACAGGAAACAGTAATGCCGACCAGTACTCTACGGATATTGCACTGATATTAATATGTTGGTTCTGTAGTGAGATTGCTTATTATTTAAATTTCTTAAGTTTCAGTGGATGCTAATATTTAATAACAGTGCATTAACTGTTGTACAAAATAACAACATAACTTCTATTTTCAACTGATACAAAATGATTAACAATTAATTTATTTGTTTCAGAAATGTTTAACCAATACCAATATTTTGGATGTTCTGTTTGTAGCATAGTAGCTTGACTTTTTACCTGTTTCAAATTAAAATGAACTTGGCAAGTTGCACTTTTAAAGCAGCGTTTTTAACATTCTTTCCAGTATAAAGTAACACTAACAGTTTGAAAAACAATAAGTAATATATTTGAAGTATTGGCTCTTGTACTTGCATACAAAAATACTGACACATCTCTATTGGTTTGTAAAAAAATAAAATTACAACAGCTGGGTTAGTAAATTGCCACAGCCAGGTGAGTATAGCATGACCATTAATTAAACAGCCTTCTTTTTTTCCACTGTTGCACTTTGTTTAACAGTGGACCTATGCAGGCCAATGCTGGTGGGACTGCTGTCAGAGGATCTGGAGACAGATCAGAAAAGAGTCTCTGAACCACTCTTCCTACGAGTGCGGCAGGGCCACCTGCTGGAGGTGGATATGCACCAGGGGTGTGTTAAAACACGAGTGGAACTAGACAGTCTGCGAGATGTGGTGACCACTGAGGCTCTCTGCACAGTGGAGGTCAGATGACATGTTTTACTTATATGAATCTATAAGATGATTACATTATCATGTAAGCGTTTTTGTCTATTTTAATCTCTTTTTAAATCTTACAGAAGGTGAATGAGACTCAACCATCCGTGGAGCTCCATTTTCGCTACATTAGTCGTGAGAGGCGTAAACGTTGTTACATAATGCTGGATGACAAGCCTCAGGAATCGTTACAGGTCAGGAGGAGCATTCACTATTCATTACAATCATTCATAATCAACAAGTACATGGGACTTAATGGTAGAATGAAAACATTTCAAGTAGGGGTGCAAAATGCATATTTTGATATTTTATTATTACATTTAATATATGGGTATTATATAACAATATTAATGAATTATGTTGTCATTTGGAAAAATATTTAACATTTTTAAGTAACACTCCACATTTTTTAGACGTAAGCACATTTTATAAGTCCCCTATAATTAAACAGTTTCGTTTTACCATTTTAATCCATTCAGCTGATATCCTGGTCTGGTGGGAACACTTTTAGCTTAGCATTAATAAGTGAAGTGGATTTGACCATTAGCATCTCACTCAAACAGCAATTTTTCATTTTAATTTGATTCATCCCTTTTAATTAAATTCAATTATTTATTTCCTGATTGGTTAAACACCAATTACAAGTTGCTTGGTTGCTATTTCTCAAATTGTACTATCTAAACCAGGGCTTAGCATTAACTTTTTTCATCACCAGCCACTGTGGCTAGTAGTTTTTCAACATTACTGGCCACTCTGCATTTTTTCTAACCACAATTCTGTTGTTGGGAAAATATATTTCTTGTGCATAAAAATGACTTTGACATGCTAAAATTTCTTGATTTAGATTTTGTGTTATGTCAACATGCCTCCTCATTAATTTCACTTTTTGTGTGTTGTGTATGAGCTTGCTCAATGAGCATGAGCAAATGTTTAAATAATGGTTAGCGAAAGTAACCGGTGCTTCTTACAAAAAGACAAATCTAGAGCTCTTGAAAGCAGCAAGACGGTGGGTGCATGAGCATAACTTTTTGTCTAGTCTATTTGAAAGAGAAGCAATCACACCAGTTGTGTTTCTAGGCACAGTTGCTTCACGCAAGGAAATGGGAGCGCGCACTTGTTTTAAACAGCCGCGCGCATCAAATCAGCTGTTAGCATCAGTGATCAATCTCTTATTCAGTATTCACCTGCTTTCTTTTGCTCGCGCGAACACAATTAGTTTTGTCGGTCGTGCTACTTCTTGATTCTAAGATCGCCATTGCACGCATATTGGGTCATCCTTATTGTTGAACCTTGTTTAAGGAAAACTACAATTTAAAAAATATTTTCAACCGGTCAAAGTGGCTAGTGGAGGTGCCTGTCTTACCCACCACAGCTGAAATTAACCCGCATTTGGCGGGTTAGCGGGTGTTAATGTCAAGCCCTGACCTAAACCTTTGCAGTATTTGAAATGATTGATGTTACCAAATCTACGAATAACAAAAATGCATGCTTTTTTTTAAAAAATCTGTTTTGACACATTCCAACACAATAGCATCCAATTCCATGGTTAAATAGTTCAATATTTTGACTCCTCAGGTATTGGCAGAAGTTCTCTTAAGAGTTGTGGAAGAAAACAAGCAGCAGGTGGATGATGAGAGACCAGAGACCATTTGGCTGCAGTGCCTGAAGTGTCAAGCTGAATTCTGCCAGCCGGCCAATGAGTCAGACAACAGCCTTAACCACCTGGATGAGCAAGGAAATAACAGTAAGGCTTCAGAAGAGCTTTTTTTCTTCTTTAATTCCAGGGAAATGTACAACCACATGCACCTTGCAAAACACTTTTCGTTAAATGTGTTGCAACAATTCGAATCATTCTGTGATTTGATTCCCAAATGTATCATTAGCTAACTATTGTTGCATACTCTGTTTAACTCTGGTGTGAACAACGGAACTTAAAAATACACTATAGTTGTTTTTTTTGTGAAATGCATGCTGGTTTCCTCACTGCAATTGCCACCATGGTACAATAAATTATTTACAGGGTTCATACGGCAGCATTTCCTCTAGGATTTTTTCCAGCTGTGGCGGCAGGTCTTTTTTATACAGATCTACCAACTGCCTGTGGTGTTATTTCAACGACAAATGTCTTGAGTGCAGTATTACAAGTCGAGATCACATTTATGTAATAGCCTACGAGCATGCAAATCTCTTTGCTTGCGTACCGGTTTCCTCTGCTTGTACACAAAACTTCTTGCATACCTCCTCAAATATACGCTGCTCAAGCGCAGATCTTCTTGTGCGCTGTCAAATAAATGTTGTTGAAGTGCGATTTAGTGCGTTTATGTATCAAGTATGTCTCCAAAATTTATTAGATTTATAAGTATATTTAAGAATGTCTCCAATAGACCTAAAGAGCGGTAATAATGCATCCTGAAGTAAAGTAAAACGGCTAGGCTATACCTCGTGTTTGCTGGTCTCACGCATCACGCACCTGTCAGTCCAACGCAATCTCATGGCAATTCATAACTTTTTGATTTAGTGGCTAATTTGTATAAATTTGTAAGATCTAATTCGTACAATTTAGTACGATTTGCTCTTTACCCAATGACGGTTAGGGGTGGGGTTGGATGCCACGCCTCTTTCTTTAAAAAACGTACATTTTAATTAGCCACTAAACTGACAAAACGTTAAATATTAACGTTTCCTCGTGAGATCAGGCTGTTCAGCCAGTTAGCAAGTGACCTCAAAGGGTTAAACAAATAACACACAGCACTACAACGGTTACAGAAAAGTTTGCGCTGTTAAAATTCACTTACCTTTTAATACGTTTTGGTGCGATCATCACCCGCTATTTAAAAAAACTAAACATGACTGAATGTTTTGAATGAAAAGCTGTAATGTAGCCATGGCGGGATGAATTTTGGCGTGGCACCCCACCATGGAAGAATGAATGTAGCGGAAACCATGTACGGTCTTGAAAAACCTGGAAAAGTCATTGAAGTTTGACATTTTTGAGGCCTGGAAAAGTTTTGGAAAAAAGAAAAGCCCACAAAGTTTTGGAAAAGTCATGGAAATTAGTTTAACAAATATCTGTAAACTTGAATATAGGTCAGTTGTTTTTACTTCTTTTCTGTCTTCGGCCAAAAACATGGTCTCACATCATAATTGCTGTGTAAGCATTCATTTATTAATTCATTTTTCTTGGGCTTAGTCTCAATTTTAGATGTGGCACAGCGGGAATGAACCGCCATATGTAAGCATTATCTAAATAAATCTTACATAAAATATATATATAAAAAATTAATTCAAACTAAATAGATTGTTGTGTGTTTTATGATATGCTATAATACTTTTAAACATGCATTGTTTTTTATTATTATTTACCATGTATACATAGACATTACATTAAACATTAAGTCAAGAAAAAATCATAGAAATTTAAGTAGTGAAAATGTGTATTAACCCTGTATCTAATACAGTCGTAACCGTTACTGCAATTAAACACAGTATTTCAATATGCAGGTTGACTGTTCTAGGGTTGCACGGTATACCTGTACTTTGGTTGCTATGCGATACTATGGCTCCAAAATACTGGTGGTGCCTCTGTAGTTTGTAAACGGTAGTATCGTCATTAACTATTCTACAATAGTTCATGTTGCGTGTGGAAACGTCTGCTCACACATTTGTGCAAATAATCAATAGATGTGTAGTATTTGTGCTGTTTATGGTATTGCACATTTTCTGATTTTCTTTAAACACACATCTAAATCAGTTCAGTTTTGTTCCTGTGAATATGATTAGCTACAACGGCCACGGCAAAAAAATGGAAATGTGCAGATACAAAATATCTACAAATTATAGGTTTTCAATAATAAGGGAATTTTAAGTTAAATTTCTGTATTATAACTATAGGTGGGCATAAATTATTATTTTTTTATCTAGATTAATCTCACTGTAATCTTGGAAATAATCTAGATTAGTCTAGAATAAAATGGCTCATTTGAATTCTGCCAGAGGCATTCAGAATATGTGTGCTACCCAATTAATGACTAAAAGTAAGTCTTTGAGAATGTGTTTCTCGAGCCAGGAGGCAGATTAGACCAGGGGCTCATCTCCTGTTTCCAAAATGCATCACAAACTGCTTGAGAAATTGTTCTACTATGATAATTGGTGATGAAAATAAATAATGTTTAATAAGATGTACTTGTGTTTAGTAACTGTTTTTACAGTTAAACATAAATTTTGAACTGTAGGCCGATTTTTGATTACCTTAATCCGACTAAAGTCATAACTGAACTAAACAGAAATGGAATTAAGACGTGGAATATGCATATATTAGTTGTCAGCAAAGGACCGTACACACACACACATCGCAAAATGCGGAAGCTTTTTCTCTGCATTCAGCGTGCGTTATTAAATTCCATACACTTTCACCAGTCCGTACTTCTCATTTACGTCTAATTACCCAGTTTGTCACAGCGCCATGAATGAAATGTTCATGAGTGAAGGTGAAACTGTCGAACTGCAGTTTCACCCTCAAAGTCATCCAAAATTACAAGAAAGTCTTACATGAAAGCACTTCACGTAAACAACTTAATTAAATTAAGGCAAATAACTAGATTACATATGTCCATGTAAAAATAGTCAGTAGTGTCTTCGAAGTAAGTGAAAGATCCAGAAAGGCATCCTGCTGATTTTAGTCAGTAGGGCACTTTTTTGTCAGACGGCTCACCAGTTTGACTTTCAATCACCGCCATTCATTTTAAAAAGCACCCGGTTCATTTTTATTTGTATGCTTTATTTGAGCACATAAACTCTACAGGAGCCTGATAGTTAGAGGTGGAGCTAAGATTAATCAGATTTACTCTAGCGAACTGCATCCATGTTTGCACGTCACGTTTGATGTAGTAATTTCACAGCAGGAATACACACAGGTTTGAAGACTTGTTCTCGCCACCAACAGTGCGATTCGGCCAGGTATACATCTACGCTAAAATATCAAGGTGAAAGTCATCATAGCTTGCGTAGAATAGACCCAGCTCCCAATCCAACTTTGAGAATAAATTAACGGCGATATTTAATTATTTGATATTTTTTATTTATTTTTCAATATTTATTATTAGAGAATAGATTAACGGCGATATTTATTTTATTGCCCAATAAGAGTCTTGCGTCAACAAAGCACGTTAATGCCGATAACAGCCCACCACTAACTATAACATATAAAATATAGTATTTGTGACAATTTGCTTTTCAAAGATTTGTATTTGATGTATTAATACAGTATCGCAATACTACCTGATATCATGATACTTCAGCGAGTATAGTATGGTGGCCTAAATTTATAGTACCATGACAACCTTAGACTATACTATCTAATTGATGCTCGTTAGTACCATGGCGGCACCTCTAGGGGAAAAAAACATGAATCAAACTTATCATGACTGTTTAATCATCTTGTTGGAGCATGATAGAACCTGGATAAAATATGCCAGTAAAGAATTGCCTGAATACTGAAAGGTTGCCAATTGTTGGGTGTGAGAGCTTGGGACTCTATCAAGCAGCCAGTGAATATAATATTTGACCCATTTTCAGTATAAAACTTTTAATTGTAGAATGTTGTTTTTTTTTTACTCTCAGCTGTTTTGATTTTAATGATTGGTTTGTTACACATTTCATCTTTCCATGCACTGCATAGTTTTGAAACGTGCTTTGACACGCCCCGGAGGCTCTGGGACATTTGTTCAGCTGTTTTCAGTCTGTTTGGTGTCCTGCAGATCATCTGGACTAAACACATGATTGTTTCTGCATGGGGGAGAGATCAGTGAAGGTGTTTATTTTGAAAGCGTTAACGCTCTTATAATAAGTCCAAAGTAAAAAGAAAATGTATTGTCAAAGACTATTCTGTAAGGAGTTTAACCTTGAATGACATGAGTGTGTCATATTGATTTGTCTTTTAAGCTTCAGTCTTGTTTTAATAACTGAACTGAATTAGATTGTCTGGATACATCAAAAGCTTTAGACTTAACATATGTCATAGTGATTGACTGGCTGATGATTTTTTACAGAGTGCACTGTCATCTGCTCAGAGTGCAATAGCGATCATGTGGTTCAGTTAGCTGCCCAATCAACTCCTTCCACCAGTACACCATTTGAACAAAATGGTGAGAGATACTTTACTTTTGATGACCGGGATAATGCTGACCATCTCCAGCACAGCGAGGTCCAGGTATTTATGTTTGTTTAATATTACTAATATTGGTCCATGTATACTGCTTCATTTGTTAATTAATCTTAATTGGCTTCATTCCTTCAGAGTTTGGTCCTATCCCACGGGAGCCCACTTCATTTGACTCAGCAATCAGAGGTCTCTACAGAGGGAGCTTACTTTCACACAGCCCATAGTTTTCTGTCTAATTGTTTTCCCAATCAGAATGAAGCTGAGCAGAGAACCTCTCCACTAATCAACTTCAGCATAACTGATGGAGAAGCGCAAAGTGACTCAGAGGGAATGAAGGAGAACTTGGCTGACAAATCCTGCTGCAACAGCTATGAAAAGCAGGCACTGCTGTCACCAAAGTATACCGGAGGACCAAACACTGGTAGGCGGTCTATTAAAAGATAATAAGAAGATAGGAAGAAACTGCTATGGCTCAAAATATAAAGCCTACATGATGGTGTATATAATTTTATTATTTTCTAAACACATTAGCATTGAGGCCTTTAAAAATACAAAGAAACAAACAAACAAAGATGGATTAAAACTATCTTTGTAAATTGCTACTGTATAGTTACTGGCCTAAGCTAGGCCTGTTTTAGAATGGTCAGTTAAGTACTGTAGTGGAGTGTTTTGTAAACATGACCGGAATTTTTTTCCTCTGTTTTTATTTTTCTTTTCAGCTCAGTTTGACCTGCTTTCAGAAGCTGTGGATCATCGGCTTCAACTATTCCTGGATGTGGAAGTGTTTGGGGGAGAAGAGGAGCTTCGCTGCTTTTTAAAGGCACTCTTAACATAGCCACCAATAACACTGACTAGAAAAATAACATTAACTATTAACTAACAGGGAGATTAGAATTGTAAAGAGCTTGATTTAAATTACACAACCAATAAACTTTAGTGTCTTAAAGATATAGGGCCCTATCATACACCTGTTGCAATAAGGCGCATGATGTGTTTGGTGAGATTTGTTGCTGTTTGCAAACCAATGCAACCCTTATTTGCCGGTTTTGCAGCCCGTTGTTTAAATAGCAAATCCATTTGCACCACTTTGTGGACTCATGGGTGTGCCGATCTATAAAGGAGGTGTGTTAGGGCCCGTTGTTGGCGCATTGCTACTTTGAGGAACTGAAATAGACTGCGCAATACACCAGCTGAAAATATTACCAAAATTATTATTTTCTACATAAATATAACAACACCTGCCTCCATGCCTTTTTCATCTCAGGGGGCTTTTTTCAGTTTATTCATGACAATTTACTTTTGTATATATTATTATTATTATTATTACTATTATTAGTGTTATTTATTATAAGCATATTTATATTTGTTTTATTAAAAACAAGTTTAGATTTGTCCACCTGTCGGGTTTTAGAGCATATGGGGCATAAGAACAATGTGTTCGGATATAACTCAGTTTTTTGAACACACTTCTTTATTATTGTTTATTAATTTGTTTGCTGTAAATTAGATCTGCATTTATAAATAGATATGAAACAAATCTTTGCACTTGACAAACTAAATTAAATATGTTGGCTGATGGATGTCTTCAGTGGAACAAGTACAACACCGTTTTCTTTATCCACAAAAGAAAAGGAGTAAAGAGTAAAAGTAAAGTATAGTGTAAAGAGGCCGAATGGAGGAGGGTCGTTCTTTATCCTCTCACTGCAGATGGTCGGTTTAACTGTTTTCTCGCTAGTGAAGCATTCAGTTATTCCACTTGCAAAGTCTGTCATATAAATAGCAAGTGCACCATGGCGTGATGCCTTGGTCTTATTAAGGGAATGGTAGATCAGCCTCTGTTTTCCACTATATATCATAGTTGATCATATCCAGGCAATAATCAGACTTTCATCCTGTCTAGGGTACGTTTTTCAAACACAAGGGTGTGTTTCTACCTTAAACATTTGTTTTTCTCCAAAAAAACAAGGAAACCCAGAGCAGAACAATTATTTTATTTACATTTTATTTGGCACACTCCCTTCACACTCGCCTTTTAATTTCTCAAAACTCATAAATAGTCTCCTTTTGTTAAGTTTAAATTCTAATGTTTTAATAACACTCAAAATTCTAATTCTATTAAACTAACCAATGCATTCTTTTGTTTATGTTCCAAATATGCTTGAGTTTTTATCCATCATTAATGAATGTGTTAAGTAAATGCTTAATTTGTAAGTGCTCTGTTTAAAATCTTACCTTTACCATTTTTGTGTTTTCACTTTTTTCAGATGTCAATTGTGAAGTTTGGAGATGCAGTGGAGTTCCATTCCCTCATGGTTGTGTCAGACCAATACATCTACATCTTAGAAATCACCTCACAGTCTGAGTAAGTTATTTTTTCAGTTAAGTGGAGGCTATAAAACAGAAGCTAGGTATTGTCAACTAAAATCTTTAAATATGCTAATGTTGGGTGAACGTAATAGTCATGTGTGCGCACAACATCAAATTGGGTAAGTGATATAAAAAAAGAGAAATTGAGAACGTGAATGAAAAATCCATGTTAAAACACATAATGTTGCTTTTGGACTTTTATATCAGTATTTTTATCTTATTTATAAGAAGAAAAATATAATGAGCACAAAGTTTCCTGGTATCAACAATACAGCACTGATACAACATTTTAGGAGAAAACCAAAACCTAAATCCTTAACCTGCCTTAACTTTAAGTATGTTGCAGACTTGTGATAAGAGAGTGTTTTAAAAATCCAACACATTATTTTTATTGACTTTACATACATCACACCACGCCAATTGTTTTTAATGTACAAAATGACCTCAGCCCTTAACAGGGTACATTATGTCTTGACCTTTTTTTGGTGAGGTTTTCTTTTTTGACAAATCAACAGATTGACAAATTGACAAATATTGCAAAATGTACACTTAATCATCCTTGCAATCTTGTAGTTTGCAGTGTTACACCATTTCATACTAATCCAAACTTGTTCATTCTTGAGTAGAACATTGGTATGTACAGGGATAAATGGATTTCCAATTGAAGTACAGAATGATGCATCTGCACTCAGTTCTTGTGCCTTTTCACACCCTTAACATGATGGTACATGGTGCATCTTGCAGTGTTTAAATGACCGATAGAATAGTTCACCTGAAATTATCTTTATTTACTCATTCTTATATTGTTCCATGATAAATAATGATGTTTATTTAAAACCTTAAAGATCCCACTACCATGTGAATTAAGTGGTTCTTCTAAATAGATATCATGTCTGAATGGAGGAACTATACATTTAACAATTTCTTCAACCTTTGTCTTTGTTCGTGAAATGAAATTTTACTTTTATAAATTTAACACCATCTGAACTATCTTATGCCTGTCACTTAATGGACAAAGGAAATGTATCCTGTTTTTAAATAATGAATAGAAAAACAATTAAAACAGCTATAATATATACTGTATTTTTCATAATATACTGCATTTATCAACTTGGCTCATGATTTACAAGAGTATTTATTTTCTGTTGCAGAGGGCAACCTTCAGACTGGCTGCGGAAAAGAGAAAGTCATCAGTTGTGTGAGCTCAGCTATCTGGAGGTGGGTTTGGGTTCTCAGACTATACACCTGGAGTTTGGCGAAGGGGAAGCAGCGTACACATTACTTGTGCGAAACAGCGCCCGCTGCAAATGGTTTTTCAGCAAGCTTACAGGCAAGACTTCCTTTTTCACACTGTGTGGTTTCTTAGAAGGAAACGAGAAGTAGAAAAGACTTGCGCATTAAAAATATGTTGGTGAGCAATGGTTTAGCAAGTTGATTGATTGGTTAGCGATTCACTATGACAAAGTGAACAAAAGATGTTCTTTCTTGATGAACGGTTCTTAATTCAGAGCTGTTTATAACTTGTTTGTTTAAAGGTGTCGTCTGAATAGGAGGTGTGTGGCTTAGCTAAGGGCAAAAAGTCTCTAGAAACATTTTTTACAGGTCCTTTTCAACCTCAGAAATTGGCTCAATATAATTTGAGTTGTTTTGATTGTATTTTGAAGCATTATTAATAATAATAGCTCTGCACTGATGCTTCCGCAACTTATTTCAGTGTCTGATGCTCACACACACAAACATGCATCTTTCCTTGTTAAGTGACTAGCTTTTCATGTCTCTTCGGGGTGGAATTGAATACATTTATAACCCATATATCCCGCATTTTGCATTCTGGCTCGCTGTGAACAGATAAGTGGCTTCACAGAACTTCTTACTCTTCTTTAAAGCCTGTTCAATTTTCAAAGTCCAACCTACAGTGGGATATACTATAAAGCATAAATAAGAGGAAAAAAATAAATACTGTTGTAATCTCACTAGGAAATGTGTCCAATCAAATGGTGCCTAGAATGTGCGTATTAATGGTCCCGCGTGGATTGTCAGAGTCTGTTTTGTTCAAATTGCCTTGTTTTTGCATCAGGATTTCACACTCACAGGATTTACAAAATAACATGGAAATGGATTTAAGGCTCACGTTGTGTCATTTAGACTCACTGGCCACTTTAATAGGTACACCATACTAATACCAGGTTGGACCCTCTTTTGCCTTCAGAACTGTCTTAATCTTTCGTGGCACAGATTCAACATGGTACTGGAAATATTCCTGAGAGATTTTGGTCTATATTGACATGATGGCATCATGCAGTTACTGCAGATTTGTCAGCTGCACATCCATGAGGTAAATTTCCCGTTCCACCACATCCCAAATGTGCTCTATTGCAGTGGTCCCTAACCCCCGGGCCACAGATCGGTACCGGTCCGTGGATCAATCAATACCGGGCCGCACAAGAATTAATTATCTTTAAGTTGGCAGATAAAGTAGCTGTATTTAAAGCCAAACTGGATTTGTGGGGACGGCGTGTGAACAGAGACATATTGGACTTGCATGATATTTTTTTCATTTGTTTCACGGGCACACGCAAAGCTTGAATGTAAACAAACAACGGCTTGTCATAAGCATCTTATCGATAATTATTTACACGGTTGGCATTAAGATGAACATATAAACATTTTCTGCCTAATTTCTAGCAGCTAAATATGTCTAGAAAAATATTCAAAGGCTTTTATTCTCATAAACCGCGCGGACGTAAATGCATCTGACTGTTCTGATTGGCTAAAGCAGACGTCTCACGTCAGCACGTTCTAGACGTGCACGCGCTCTTTCCAGCAATCTTCCTTCTGCGTTTACACAACGCAGCATTCCGGCAAATTACCAGTAATGTGACAACTTCTCTTTTCGGAAAATAGCCAGAACAAATTTATCAGTATTTTTAAAAAGGCCCTGTTCACACATACACACCTTTCCGGAAAATTGCTGGATTTTTCGGAAAGGTCTGTATGTGTGAAAGGGGCTTTTGTATCCCATTACCCCCAGATGAGACCATCTCGTTGCAAAGAAACAAGCTCAGGGCTCCCATTGATATAGCGTTACGGACAGTTTTTTAATGTTATAATATGTTATATTGTTGGAGCAATGTGCTAATAAAGTTATTACTTCCTAATGTTATAATAGCATTGTAATGTTGGAACAATGTGCTAATAAAGTTCCATATGAGTACACAGTGGATTCACGTTTATGTTTATTATTTCAACACTTCCGGTCTGCAGTAAAATTGTCAAGCGTTGACCGGTCTGCAGTTAGAAAAAGGTTGGGGACCACTGCTCTATTGGATTGAGCGCTGGTGACTGTAGAGACCATTTGATTACAGTGAACTCATTGTAAAGTTCAAGAAATCAGTCTGAGATAACCCACTGTTTATTACATGGTGTACAATTCTGCTGGAAGTAATGATCAGGAGATAGGTACACTGTGGTTATAAAAAGATGAATAGGGTCAGCAACAATACTCAGGTAGGCTGTGGCGTTGACACGATGAGCTCAATTGGTATTAATAGGCCCAAAGTGTGCCAAGGAATTATCCCCCACATCATTACACCACCACCCCCAACATAAACCATTTATGCAAAACAGCATAGATCCATGTTTTCATGTTGTTGATGCCAAATTCTGACCCTACCACCAAAACGTTGCAGCAAAAATAAAGACTCATCAGAACAGGCAGTTTTTCCAATCTTCTGTTTTCCAATTTTGGTGAGCCTGTGCAAATTATAACCTCAGTTTCCCGTTCTTAGCTGACAGGAGTGGCACCCGGTGTTGTCTTCTGCTGCTGTAGACCATTTGCCTCAAGGTTGGATGTGTTGTGCGTTCAGAGATGCTCTTCTGCATCCTTTGAACTTAACGAGTTCAAGGTTAAATATTTCGGGTTATTTGAGTTACTGTTGCCTTTCTGTCATCTCAAACCAGTCTAGCCATTCTCCTCTGACCTCTGCTATCAACAAGGCATTTGCACCCACAGAACTGCCGCTCACTAGATTTTATTTTTTTCGGACCCTAGAGATGCTTGTGCGTGAAAATCCCTGTAGATTAGCAGTTTCTGAAATACTCAGACTAACCCATCTGGCACCAACAACCACGCCATGCTAAAAGTCACTTAAATCACCTTTCTTCCCCATTATTATGCTGGGTTTGAACTGTAGTAGATCATCTTGACCATGTCTACTTCCTAAATGCATTGAGTTGCTGCCATGTGATTTTACTGATTAGAAATTTGCTTTAAAGAGCAGTTAGACAGGTGTACCTGATAAAGTGGCTGGTGAGTGTATACTGAACCCTTATATTCAGCTACCCTCAATTTCTTTGTGTGGAATCTTTAAAATGTATTTTTGTCTAGTGTTAATTTGAAATGTCTTTTAAAACTTGTTATTTGCATATGTTTTTCAGTTTAATCTGAGATCACTGTAAACATGGGCTTGATGCTGGCATAGCATTAAAAAGTGATTAAATAATAAATAAATAATTAAATAAGAATTATAAGGAAGTAAAAAGATTTGAAAAATGACAGATAGCTACCCCTTTTTCATATTTCAAAAACTAGTTGCAACCAGCCTTTAAGGAATATTTACATTCATAGTTCATTATAGTTATCTTATAGATGGTGTTCATTTTCACCATATACAAAAAAAGAGAGTTGTGTATGAAAAAAGGGCGTTGCAAAGATCATAGTGCTGCAGCAGCAACACAAAACATTGACCTGAATACAGAAGAAGACTCCACACATTGACCTAAACAATGAAACTGACACTTTTTTTCCCACGCTAATCTATTTATTCCATAACTGATTAGGTTTCGTTTTTGTGGTTTTTCAATATGCCTAAAGCACTAGAAAAAACGTTATGGGCCTCTATTTTCTGTCAAGACATTACCCTTCCAGGATGTTTTTTGAAACTCTGTCTGAAATTTCACTCAAGAATCATTGTCTCTTTGGGTTAGTAGTGCCGTTGTGTTGGGGTTGTTTTTCAAAAGCATCAACATAAGATGTTTGATAATGGCTGACTTTTGAATTTTTAAAGTATGTGCTTAATGCAAAGATAGGTTATTATAAGTTGCTTTTGTTATATATATTGATGAGTTATTGTAAGTTAGTAAGTTAGGTAGTTAGTTAGTTAGATACTTTATTAGATACTTTTTTTAATCCCGAAGGAAATTCAGTCATCCAAGTTTCCAAAACATAAAATTCCTAGACACAAACACACTCACTCTGAATAGAAAAACACTTTAAATACTTCGAAGCTATAAATGTAATAAATCATGGGTAAAAAAAAAAAAATGTAAATACATATATATACATATAGGAATTCTGTGCGTGTGTGTGGCAGTCCCAGTACTGTTATGATATGGGGTAGTAACTCAGTCGTTTAATTCCAGCACACCTTCTCAGTGCCATTATAGAGCTGGAAGACCTCTTGGGACAAAGGAACTCCTCTATCTTTTTAACATTTCAGAGAAAGTAACCTGATGTTGAACATGCTCCTCTCTTTAGAGAATCACCTTTGAGGGGGGTGACTGTCATTGCTCATTGCATTGCAAGTTGCATCAGCATAGCGCAAAAGGCACTTGAAACAAAAATAAAATTTTCACACTTTACAAGTTTTAGAATACTGAAGCATAATGTCTGTGCTTGAATATCAACAGTAAAATATAATAATAATGATAATAATAATAAAAAAATAATAATAATAATAATTATTATTATTATTCACAGACAAGTGGGTATTCAGGCTTTTACATTTATTTACATGTATTTTAAAATTTTTAGCCAAGTGTTGTGAGACTGATGCATGCTGTCCTGTGCTTTTATCTCGACTAGATGTACAGTATCATTTGCAAAATGGTGATCTAGCTATGATTTGTGCAATGCACTCTCTCACAATGCATCTCACACCTCAACATTTCCTTTCGATCATTCAGTAACTTTGTCACTGCATGATTATATGACATTATGAGAACTTCACCCAGTTGAGATGCTTTCTAAAGCACATATTTTGTAGAAGAAGTTCTTTGCTAAATGTAGCTCTACAGTAATTTTTTTTTAATTCACAAAAAAAGATTTAATAGTTCTTTGAGAGTTTCCACATTAGGAATCATGTGCTTCATTTTTGGTGTATATATTAAATAATTTTAGGTTGAGTGCTAAATGTGACAAAAATGTATATAAACCACAAAATATTGGTTTAAAAATAAATAATATACAATAAATTAATAAAATACAAATATTTCAGTTCAATTATTGCTCACTGGCTGAATGTAAATCAGCATATAATGCAACCACTGTAGTATTACTTATGAATTGTTCCTACTGTTTGAACAAGATTTATAAATAAATAGGTCAAACTATTTGAACCAAGTAGTCTTTATTGAATCAAATCCATATAAGCTATTAGCACATCTGAGTCATCTACTGACCTGCAAAACCTTTACTTTCAGTGTAGTCCACATCAAAGTGTGTCTGTGTCATTTAGTAGTTTAGAAACCTGCAGGGATCTACACACCTAAATTGACTCAGAAACATTGATGGATTAGTCTACATTTTAAAGTAAGCGCACAATTTGGGTCTAACATCCCCACCCTTCAAGTCATACGTGATTCAAGTTGGATAGTGCTGAGACAAGCTTGTTGGCAAATTGTGCTTGTTAGAGTCATAAGCAATCACTTGGAAGACAGATGTGAAAAAAGTCACAGACAACAACATTTGGGAACAGCACAGAGTTTTACACTGTTTCCTTATTCAATAGTAGCCAGGGGTGGGCAGCTCGTTCCTTCTATCAATCTTTTCTGTTTTTTTTTTTTTTTCTTAATGAGTGATCACTGATTTTAGAATATTTTAATAATAGTAACAATGATAGTGCCGCATATTAAATAAATATGTACTAAAATAGGAACAGGAATGGGAACTATAATATTCCTTCGCTGTAACTCCGCTAATGGGTCAGTGTTTGCTCATAGCCTCACATGTTCAAAGCACAATACACAGTGCACACACCCAGCGCAGGTTTTAAAACTTGAGTGTGGGGCTTTGGTCATCATGACTGAACAAAAAAGAAGCTTACTTTGGAGCTATTTTACTTCAGTTAATAAAGTTGAGGCTTTGTGTGACACTTGTCACAAAACAGTATGCCACTGATTAGTCAAAAAATATTTTTTAACAATCTAGGTACAAAGTCTATAGCGCATGAGGAAAAAGCATTAAAGGCATGTTGGAATCCACTTTTGCTATTTTAAGGACAGAAAAATATGGTTTGAGACGCGCTGCACAGTCTAACAGGGTTGTGCTCATCTCTTAATAAGTTATGGGTGTGTTTTGAGCATAACGTGCATTAAACCAATCAGAGTCTTATCTTACATTCCCTTTAGGAGTTGTGTCACGCCATGGTGTATTTGCTATTTACATTGTGGACTTCGTGAATGGAAAAATGTTATGTTTCACTATGAGAAAACGGTTAAACAAACCATCTGCAGTGCGAGAATAAAGAACTAGCCTCCTCCATTCTGCCTCTTTACTTTTACTCTACTCTTTTACTTTCGTAGATAAGGATACAGTGTTGTACGCACTCTACTGAAGACATCCATCAGCCTACATATTTAATTTCATTTGTTAAGTGCAGAGATTTCTTTCAAAACTATTTCTAAATTCAGTTCTAATTTCCAGCAAACGAATAAATGAACAATAATAGGGAAGTGTGGTCAAAAGTTACAAAGAGCTATATCCAAATGCACATCCTATTCTTATGCTCCATATAGTGACGCATACATCTCCAAAACCCGACAGGTGGACAAATCTAAACTTGTAAAACAAATATAAATATACATAAATAATAAATAGTACTTTTCATAATAGCAACGTTATAAAAATGCAAATTGTCCTGAATAAACTGAAAAAAAGTCCCCTTGACATGAAGGCGGGATGGAGGCAGTGGTTTTTATATTTATGTAGAAAATAATAATTTTTGTAACATTTTAATTCTTTATTTTCTATATGTAAAGATATTTGTATGTTGCTGTACATCCTGTGTATATTAAGCAATGTGTAAGTGTTTGGACTTGCAAAGTTGCAAAACTAAGGCAATGCACTGGACTTTAGACCAGGTTTTAGTTGGTCAATGATGTCTATTTCAGGTCCTCAACGCACAAACAATGCACCTTAACAAACATCTTTTATGAGTCCACAAAGTGGCACAAATGGATTTGCCATTTAAACAACATGGCACAAACCGTGAAAATTAGGGTTGCACTGGTCTGAAAATAGCAAACAAATTGCACCATACATGTTTTGCACGTTATTACTCCGGGTGCATGATAGAGCCCTTGCTGTTTATAGCCAATTTTCATTTAAAAATGTCAAACAATTTAATAAACATAAAAAAGAATTATGTCTGTTGTATTTTATTTAAATACATTACTGAAGGTGATTAAAAACCATTATAAAATCACTATAAAATATTTCATTGAAGTATTGTTATAGAGAACTGCAATACTTCTTGGATCGGAAAGAAAATAACTGGTATTGCGCATCCCTAATAGTAGCTGTTGTGGCCTGTCAGGGGTTTCTTTTATCCGCAGTTATCAACATTTAGTAAGTATTATCTGAACGAGAACAATATAATTTACAGGTACATGAGATTTTAAGGTAAAGGAAGAAAGCCATGCTCTGCATTATTTGGTCATTTACACTTGAGTTTTAAATCCAGTGGCTGACTTCTGTGCCTTTTCTCTGCTACAGTACTTGAGGCTCTTATCAGGCAGTCAACCTTCCCAACAACCTTGGAAAACTACTTCCATGTTTACCTTTACTTCACAGCAATGCATTGTAAAAGCTACTTTTTGTTAATTCAATACCACCATTATTTAGAGATACAAGCTACAAACAAGCACAGTTTACAGAATTATGCATAACGTAGTAACAACATGAGACAACATAAGAACAAACATAAAAACTGATTTTATCAAAAGTTTCTGTAATTACAGTTAATTGTACTTATTTATTTAAATGTGTAAACCTGTCTATCTGTCTGGCTGTCTGTCTGTCTGTCTGCCTGTCTGTCTGCCTGTCTGTCTGCCTGTCTGTCTGTCTGTCTGTCTGTCTGTCCGTTATTTAATGTAAAATGAATAATGTTAGGCATTTAGTCATCTGTGTGTTTGTAATAACATTGTGTAAAGAGGGTAGGTTCTGCGTTCAGCTTTATAAAGGAGATTAACTATGACATTTGTTCGGTCTATTAAATGCTAAATTGTTTAATTATACTAAATAGTTTAATTAAATGGACAGTGCAGTCTAGTATGTCATGCAGCAATTATGTGAGCATAATTGTGAAAGCTGTTTGGTAAGGCTAGTTTAAGTTATAAGAAAAAAAAAAACTGGTGTGAAAATTCGTACTGATTACAGCTCTCTGCCTTATTGTAGAAGTTGCAAGGGAATTGGCCCCCAAGTCTGACAGCAAGCTGAAGGGAATCTCCACCACTCGACTCAACCCACAGCACCACCTCTGGTATGCAGTACAAAGAGGCAGGCATTTTCCCTCTCCAACTCCTCTCTTTATCTTTGTTGTCGGCTTTTGTTTGTGTTTTCTTTTGCTTTCATGTTTCTTTCTGTCTGTTGTACCCAAAGCCTATTCCTAGAGGGAGAGTTCACCCAAAATTGAACATTTCTCATTATTTACTCACCCTTAAGTGGTTCCAAACTTTTTACGAGTTTATTCAGTTGAAGAAAGTTGGAAATGTAAGCTTTTACTTTTATAGTAGGATAAACAAATACTAAGAAAGTCAATGGTTACAGGTTTCCAGCTTTTTTCAAAATTTCCTTTTTTTGTGTTTAACAGAAGAAAGAAACTCAAATTGGGTTTTGGAACAGGTAAAGGGTGAGTAAGTGATGGTGCGCAAACTATCCCTTTAAATCCAAAAACGCGAGACTATTATGACTTTATTAATTGTATGGTGTAGTTAAACATTTTAGTTTGTGATCCCAAGGTAAACATAACTCTATAAATCATTTGTAAAAAAAAATCTTATCTTTGTCCTGTAGGCGCCTAGTCTGTGAAGACAGCCTTCCATGTGATGAAGAAAGCCACCCTCCTTTCCGCTACCTCTTAGCATTCCTTCAACAAGGTGAGTGTTTATGTTGTTCAGCATGAAAGCTTTTATCTTCTTCTTACAAAATGCTTCTGTTGCAAAAGCCAAGCAAAGCGTGAGGAGCAAAATAAGAAATTATATGCAGTCCAAAAATGCTTTTCTTACTTCGAGGTTTTGTCTTGTTCCTAGTCCAAATATCTTGTAATTCTTAAAGAAGCACCTTCTAGATGAGCAAAACAGATATTGTCTTGTTATTAGGTATAATAAGTCACAATTGTGTGAATTGAGTTCAAGTTGAGCTGTATTGTCATTCCACTACATGTGTAGACATACAGTGGAACCAAATGTCATGTCTCACAGGACCACGGTGCTAAATAAACAATCGTAAATATTAAAAACAACACTGAGCGTAAGAAATATTTTAAACCTATACATAACTACGATACCATAGTGGTAATCTAACGATAACTGTACTTCTACTATAAATACTTAAATTATACACATAACCTGAGACAGACTAAACAAGCACTATTACATAACACAGAAACAAATTGAGCATAATCTTGTGCAAAATAAGTATTTTAAGATTGAAGAAAACAAGTGGTATGTGGTTCATTCACAGGTAAATATACACTCACCGGCCACTTTATTTGGTACACCTGTCCAACTGCTTGTTAATACAAATTTATAATCAGCCAATCACATGGCAGCAATTTAATGCATTTAGGCATGTAAACATGGTTCATGCAGTTCAAACCATGCATCAGAATGGGGAAGAAAGGTGACTTTAAATGTGGTTGTTGGTACCAGACAGCTGGTCTGAGTACTGTATTTCAGAAATTGCTGATCTACTGGGATTTTCACACACAACCATTTCTAGGATTTACAGAGAATGGTCCGAAAAAAAGAGAAAATATCCAGTGAGTGGCAGTTCTGTGGGTGCAAATGCCTTGTTGATGCCAGAGGTCAGAGGAGAATGACCAGACTGGTTTGAGATGACAGAAAGGCAACAGTAACTCAAATAACCATTCGTTAAGTTCAAGGGATGCAGAAGAGCATCTTTAAATGCACAACACGTCAAACCTTGAGGCGGATGGGCTACAGCAGCAGAAGACCATTCCGGGTGCCACTCCTGTTAGCCAAGAACAGGAAACTGAGGCTAAAATTTGCACAAGCTAACCAAAATTGGACAATAGAAGAATTGAAAAACATTGCCTGGTCTGATGAGTCTCGATTTTTGTTGTGGCATTCGGATGGTAGGGTCAGAATTTGGCATCAACAACATGAAAGCATAGATCCATCCTGTCTTGTATCAATGGTTCAGGCTGGTGGTGTGATGGTGTGGGGGATATTTTATGGCACACTTTGGGTTCCAATAGAGCATTGTGTCAATGCCACAGCCTACCTGAGTGTTGTTGCTGACCATGTCCATCCCTTTTTGACCACAGTGTACCCATCTTCTGATGGCTACTTCCAGCAGGATAACGCACCATTTCATAAAGCGTGAATCATCTCGGACTGGTTTCTTGAACTGGACAATGAGTTTACTGTACTCAAATGCCCTCCAAAGTCATCAGAACTCAATCCAATGGAGCACCTTGGGGATGTGATGGAATGGGAGATTAGCATCATAGATGTGCAGCCAACAAATCTGAAGCAACTGTGTGATGCAATCATGTTAATATGGACAAAAATCTTTGGGGAATGTTTCCAGTACCTGGTTGAATCTATGCCAAGGATTAAGACAAAAGGGAGTCCAACCTGGTACTAGTAAGATGTACCTAATAAACTAGCCAGTGAGTGTAGTTTTCCTTATTGAGTCCTTGTAAGATGATGTTTAGATAACGTGTCTGGTGCATATAGAGTGTTTCTACATGTGGTTCGTCAAACTCAATTAGAAATGCTAATGCTAATTTTAAATGCTAATTTTATTTTATTTTTTCTCCCAAGAGATATGCATGGTGTACCCCTATCTGCCAAGGGGGTGAGCAAGATAATATTGTTTTCTTTTTTAATTAAGTTTATTTTGCTTACGATATTGGCAGAATATTTACCTTTTAAACTTGCTTAATTTTGACACATTCCTGAAAACAAGACAATATTTTTTACTTTTCTATAAAATGCTTCTTGATTTAAGAATTTGTCGATATTTGGCCTTTTGAGCATTTAGAGCAGCATGGCCACTACAGCATGTATGGGCATGTCTGTGATGGAGCTATAAATGGCAGAATGTGTGCTGGTAGACTCAGAGAATGATTTGTATCTGATGCATTTAGAGAATTAGAGATTATTAGAGAAGATAAAGCTTAAGTTGGGTGTGATGTTCTTCTCCAGGCTGTTTATGGTTGTTTTAGCACATGTTCTTTTCAGTTCATCTATTCTCCAGCGTGATTCACACATTACAGGTCTTTAATGATTCACGCAGAATAGTTCTTCCCAGGTTAACACTAGGACATAAAGGTATATCTATCAGGGTTTGCTTTTATTAGGGTCCTGTTGTTATCCTTGGAACCAAACTCTAGGGTCTTGACTGAAATAGGGAGAGTCATAGAAAACAGATTTATCTGATTCTTCTTGAGAGAGTGATCCAACTGTGAGCGGCTGGTTCAGCTTTCAAGAGCTCAGTATCCTGCTGGCTGACTCTTCCCCTGCCCAAAGGGCTCGCAGCATGCTAGACTTGTGATGTGATAAGCATTCAGCTGGTGTGACCAAACCCACGGATTTAAAAAAAAAGACAGGAACATCCTGAAACATCACCGATGCCCTTTTTTCTCCCACTCACAGACTGTTTCACATAGTTATTTGTGATTTCAGTTTTGTGCGCATGCCAAAACGCTCATTAACACTAACATGCATGCCACCAAACTTTGAAGAATAAACAGAAAGCACATCTAATATCATAACAACAGACATTTTGTTCTCTTCTCTGCAAGTACTTCATCTCTGTGGGTGGTCATTGAGCTGTGCTCTGCTGTGCTGTACTGTTGTCGGTGATATGCATCTGACGTGCTTGTGTTTTTAAATGATGGTTTTTCAGTGTTTCATGAGGTTTGCAGCTGCAGTTTATGTATGTTATTTTTAAAGCAGCAGTGTGGAAGATGTTTGTGCTGAAAAAGAACAAAAAAACAATTGTTGAGCATGTAAATAATAATAATTCAGTGTGCAAAGCTGTGTTCTTGCCTTATTTTGATTAATAGAAATTATTTAAAATTTGAGCCATTTTGCAATGTCAGTTTCACCTCTTTCATCTTTGCTTGGCTATAGTGCATTCATAAAAAGAAGAGGAAGTCTGGCTATTAAAACTCAATCTGTTTTACTGTTGACATATTATATACATAAGCAGCAGACAGGAGGGAAGATTTGGGAAAACGTTTAGAATGAAATGAAAATACTATAAACTAAAATATACAAAACAATAAAAGACTAAAATAAAACAGCCTTGTGACACAGTGGCACAGTAGGTAGTGTTGTCACCTTACAGCAAGAAGGTCGCTGGTTTGAGCCTCGGCTGGGTCAGTTGGCGTTTCTGTACGAGTTTGCTTGTTCTCCCCGTGTTTATGTGGGTTTTCTCCAGGTGCTCCACTTTTCCCCACAGTCCAGACATGTGGTACAGGTGAATTGGGTAGGCTAAATTGTCCGTAGTGTAAATTGTCCGTAAATTGTCCAACTATTCTCACATATATTTTACGCAGCAGATGCCATTCAAGCCAGAACCCATTACTAGGAAAAATTCATACACACTCATTCACACAAATACTCATACTCTATTAACATTTTAGTTTATTCAATTCACTTAGGCCGCATATACACTGCACTGTTCAAGTGACCCAATTCCCATTTTTTTCCTACCATATGGCACAGATCTGATATGGCCCATGTACGTGTAAGCAGGAACAAATCACATGGATTCCGATTTACTCAAATGAGATTCAGGCCGTGTTCATATGTGGAAATTTATCCGATATGAATAGGATCTGTGTTCTCGTGTCTGAAGTGTAAGCAGGTGGGTCCGATTTTCACCTGTCAATGCGAGTCACGTGTCATTAAAAACCGTAGCAAATGATGTCAAGTCTGACACGTTCATTTCAGAACAGACTTCAGCAGAGTCCCAAACCTTATATCTCATACACTAGGACTTAACAGCTTTCATATTTTCATATAGCACAGGTATTTAAGCATGTTCACGAGAGCGAGCGAGAGAGTGCAATGTCTGCCACGTAACCAATATAAACTAATATAAAACTAGCGCATAACTACATCACATGCATAAATCACGCCATGGACATTGCATTAAGATGCCAAAAAGTAAAAAAAAGCCTATATATCAAAAGAAGATGGACAAATGAGAACCTTTCTGTCATAAACTAGAGTAAAAAAGCTTGTCAAAAGCTGTGAACAGATTACATACAGGAATAGAGAAAAGAGCACTCTTTAATTATCAGTTGTTAGTCAGCGCCCGCTCTTTTTTTTTCCTGGTCATTGCACCTTTGCCGTGTAATGTGTAAATGCAGACGATCAGATATGAGTCACTTTTAAAAGCCGATGTAAGCAGGTCATTAAAATAATCAAATACAGTCACAAAATCGGAATTGACCATCTAGATCTGCAGTGTAAATGAAGCCTTAGACCACATGTCTTTGCACTGTGGAGAAAACCTGCGCGAACATGGGGAGATCATGCAAACTCCACATAGAAATGCCAACTGGCCTTTTCTCATCAGCTAATGTTTCGTCAGCTATTGGTGGCAACCTTAAGGCTCCTACACTACGACGCTTTTCGTTTGCGTTTATCGTCAGTGTTTTACGAGACGTTTTTCCGCGTTCAAACCCAAGTGATTTTCACTGGCGTCAAGCATAAGAGTATGCAAAAATCACTCCTTGACGTTAGATGGCGCTACATAACTTTAAGCTTCCGACACCTGCTTGTAACACAGAAGAAGAGGAAGAGAGGAAGTTCGCACACTTGTTGTCAAAGTTACTGGTGACTCGAACAAGCATAGATGGTTCAGGCAGCAGCTCCAGCTCTAGCGATGAAGACACAATTATTGTTCAGCTGAGCAATAAGCAGCTCCACGTTCATATCGCCTCTGGGCATCTTCTTCAATGTGCGCTCGCATTGACAGTTTTGCGCTTGAGCGCCTCCAAGTGCTGTTTGCTATAACTTCAGCAGCTCCGTGCATGTGAACTAATGTGGCAATCTGATTGGAAGAGAAGGATTTAAGCAAAAAAAATGTCACGGTGTGCACGGGCCTTTAGTTTGGACAAACATGAGGTCAGTTAACCATGATAGAGCTGTCCTTTTTAGGCAAATTAAAACCAGCAAAGAAGAGAGCTTGTAGCACAGCTTATTTCAGCATTAGATCAAACATAACTAAACCAACTAAGTAGGAGCTGAAGGACATGGTAATTAAAGACAGGTGTGTTTGTTTAGTGTTGCAGCTGAACTCTGCAGGAAAGTAGAACTCCTGGATTAGGGTTGAACACCCCTGCTTTAATACATTCATGAACACTATTTCAGCATCTGCAGAATATAATGAAGATGACAACTCCTCTGATTTCACTCTCAGTCCCTGCGTAATCAGACTGTGCTTTTGTTTGTTGTGATTATGCGCCCTCTAGTGGCAAAAAGTTACGTACACTACCAGTCACAAGTTTGAGGTCAGTTTTTTTTATTATTAATTTTATTTAGTTTAAATAAAATTATTATGTTCATCAAGGCAGCATTTAATTAATTGAAAAAAAAATTTAATACTTATTTGTTAAATGTTTATTTATTTATGTGTAGTTTTAAATGAAATTATTACTCCAGTCATTGTTGATTTTATTGCTATTGCCATTAATAATAATAATAATTATAATTATAATAATTATAATAATAATTATTATTATAATTATAATAATAACAAAAATTATTAATATTAGAGTGATTTCTGAAGGATCATGTGACTGAAGAATAGAGTAGTGAAGTTGAAAATTCATCATTAAAATCACTGGAATAAATTATTCAATTAATTATAAACTACTTTTGAACATTTTTATAGTGCAATAAAATTTCACAATTTTACAATATGTATTGTATTTTTGAATAAATAAATGCAGCCTTGGTAAGCAGGAGAAGCTTGTTTTAAAACATTTAAAAATCCTACTGACCCCAAACTTTTGACCGGTAGTGTATGTGCCTTTAAACAAGAATAGACCATCACACCTCAAACTACTACATCCACCCACTGAAGCTTCTGTTGCTTTATCCAAGCTGCATGTAAATTTTTTTGCTGACAGTTTTATAGGTTGTTTTTACATGACGTCATTGATAACATGCAAAATTCAGATGGAGGCCAGGAAGTAATTATTCTACATAGGAATTGTTATCAGAACATCAAAATGTTTCTGTTTTATGTTGTTTCTAATTATTTAAATCGGCCAAAGTAAGAAATGCCAAAAAGCTTTTATAGACTTCCAAAAGGTTTTGCTCATAAAGGGTGAAAAGTTCAAGAAACTGGCTGAAAAAAAGGAAGAAAAGGCGGCAAATAATAAAAAATGTATTCAGTACACACGTGTACATACTTTTTTGAATGCAATCATTCATTTGACAGCATCAATAAAAATTATATACAGGCCTAGATAAGTGTATTATGTTATTGTGTTCTATAAAAATCAAATCCAAACACCACCACACTCATACAAAATCCAGGAGAATATAAATAACATAACTGCCATGTAATGGCTGTAACGAAATATCCATCCTGTTTTGCAGTAATCCACGTCTTTTCTAGAGTTTTGGTGGAATAAACAACCATAGCATTAACGTCTATAAAGGCAGCAGCGATGAATGTTTGTTGATGGTAAGTTCATCGACAGAGCAAAAAGAAATGCAACCCTTGTGACAATAGCCGGCAGCTAGCTCTCTGCAACTCTCACATGGTCGCCCAATGAAGCTAAGCAGGGCTGCGCACGGTCTGTACCTAGATGGGAGACCACATGGGAAAACTAGGTTGCTGCCGGAAGTGGTGTTAGTGAGGCCAGTAGGAGACGTTCAACCTGCGGTTTGTGTGGGTCCTAATGCCCCAGTATATTGATGGGGACTCTATACTGCTCAGTGAGCGCTGTCTATTGAGATAAGAAGTTAAGCAGAGTTAAACCGAGGTCCCAACTCATTAAAAATCCCAGAATGGGTTTATCCCCGGCATGCTTTCCAAATTTCCAAATTTTCCCACTGGTCACTGCATGTCCATCATGACCTCTTAACCATCCTCATGTCATAATAGGCAATATTATGCACATTGCATAATAACCAATCAGCTGGTGTGTAGTGTGCGGTCTGGTGCAATATGGCTGCCATCACATCATCCAGTTGGATGCTGCACACTGGTGGTGGATGAGGGGATCCCCAAAAATGTGTAAAGTGCTTTGAGTGTCCAGAAAAGCGCTATATAAATGTAAGGAATTATTATTATTAAAACTTGAGAGTTATTATTGTGGAGCAGTTTTTCCCCCTTACAGAAATAAAAAAATAATAATGTAGACTATGCGTCTACACTTTTGTGTGTGTTCAGCTAATATTTTGTGATGTCTGAAAGATATTCGTATGGGGAAAACTGTAGTAATTTATAATAAACTTGTTTTTGAACCACATAGTAAAGTGTATAATGTGTACAACTCGTTGTTAATGAATGAGACAAAATACTGTAGCATAGTAAACTGATAAACTGTAATAAATACTTTAGCAATAGTGTAAACTATGGTGCATTGTTATGGTGTGTACTTATAGCGTAGAAAACTGAAGCCTTTTGAATAATTTATTTACTATAGTATTTTTTTCATGTAAAGTTATAGCTTATACAGTATATACATTACCACCTCGACAGACAAATAAATTTTAGTTCAGTAGAAAACTTGGCCATGCCCAAATATGTGATTATTTTCTATTTATATCTCCATGGAAATAAGGTATAATAAATGAAATAAGGTAATTGCAAAAATACAGACTTTCCTCTATGTCTCCCTTTCAGTTGTTTACTTCCTGCCCTCTCAATTTTGCTTATCACCAGAACCACGTGATTAAAAACAACCTATACCTTAACAGCTTGAAGACCAAGTCTTCCACAATTCAGCATTGCCTGCAGATTTTAAAAGGTTGTTGTTGTTTTAAAAGGTTGTTGTTTTTTTTTTCCAAGATGAATCTTTGGACTCTGTGAGTGTACTTGCTACCAAAGAAATGCTGTTTCTCCTTGATGAAGACCACCAATGGAGCAAGAGCCAACCTGGAGGCCAGATAAGCAGTGGGACAGTGACCATACAGGAAACTCAGCCAATCAGTTGTGTTAGTTCCATCCATCTGTTCTCATCCAATCCATGCAAGGTGGACATAAAACTGTATGATGAGGTGTGTGAGTCCAACATTACAGTACAGAATAATGTAGAAACTAATTCTCTGAATTAGATAATTGAATGCAATGGCTACAATATGGATACAAGTGGACGTTTACACTACAGTTGAAGTCAGAACTATTAGCCCCCCTGAATTATTAGCCGTTAGTTTAACAGAGATATTTTTTGACACATTTCTAAACAATAGTTTTAATAACTCATTTCTAATAACTGATTTTTTTGATATTTGCCATGATTACTACATAATATTTAAATAGATATATTTTTGTATACTAGTATTTAACCTAAAGCGACATTTAAAGGTTTAACTAGGTTAATTGGGCTAACTAGGAAAGATAGGGTAATTAGGCAAGTTATTGTATAATGATGGTTTGTTCTGTAGACTATCAAAAAATATAGCTTAAAAGGTCTAATAGTTTTGACCTGAAGATGTTTTTAAAAAAATTTAAAAATACTTTTATTCTAGCCCAAATAAAACCAATATTAAAAAAAATTCAAAGAGGGGCTAATAATTCTGAGTTTAACTGCAGTTTTCCTTTTTTCTTCTTTTTGACAGTTGGCCAAGGAAGAAAAGACATGGTCTTTAAATGCTGAAGATGAAGAGCTCGTACAAGACCTGGTTGGTTGGATAACAAATCAGTGGGAAACTATGTTTGGCGTCAAACTGGCTACAATCAAGCGGTAACCTCTAGTCATAACATTAAAGAAAGAATCGTTTTTTACATCATGAAGATTCCTGCCTCAGTCTACTGGACCTGTTTTAATCTATTGTCTTATCTTTAATGTGGACTGTTTGTCTTTTTTTTTTTCTCTATATAATCCTACCAAATTCTCTTTTTACTTGTCTTGATGTCGCTAGTGTCTCCTCCATGTGCCTTTTTAGCTTTGTACAAGACACACCAGTACACCTTATAATACATATCTATGCATGCACAAAAGGGTTGTTTTAAATGCATTTCTGTAGATTGGTGTATGAATGTGGAGGTGTATTTGTATCTCAGGGTGAAAGAAAAAATATTTCATTGGGCTGTCAAAAGTTCATAATTCAATTATGCAGGTCACAGGATAATAACAGATTTACTTGTTAATGCAATGTTAGATGTTCAGACATGTTGGTGACCTAAAATACCATCTCTCACATTTTGTAAATGGGTACACATAATTTCCAACCTCAAGTATTTTGTGTGTTGATTTGTTTTGTAAGGAGACGGGTGTATATGTAGCTCATGAAGGTAACTACTGTTCTGTGTTTTTCGTTGTTAATAAATATTCAGTTTGAGCTGTAGTATAGTGAGCATTAAAAGGGAGCTAGCGATGACACTTTAAAACGTAATGGTTAGAAGAAAAACAAAATGTCATAATACCATGTGCAGTTTTGTGCCAAGTTGTTTCTGTCACCTAGATGTCCTGCACTTTTATTTCTTTATAATTGCTATAAAAGTTGTTTGTCTGCTTTATTTTATACAGTATTGTAAAAAGCCATTAGTTACTTTACTTAAAAAGTGAGTAAACCCATTGTCTTAAATGCGAAACAATTACTTAAAGTGAGTAAACCTGTTGTAACTTGGAACTGTTCAGCTTACCTAATCTATTTTTTTTATAATTATGCACATAGTTCATTTATTTAATCATTTTAATGCAATGGCTTTACTCGCTTTAAATCAACTAATCACTTTTTACAGTGTGCAAACTGTTGATGTGTACATGCATATTGCAAGAATATTTTCCGTAAATGTAAAATGTATTTAATGTGTATTTATTGATCTTTGTACTTGTCTCCGATAGGGAATCCTAATCATTTTTATTTTTGTAAACACAATAAACTATTCAAATCTTATGCATCTTTTCATTATGTCCAAATTTGAGCAGCATAGAGAAAGATTATTATTGCTTGTAAAATAGATTGCGGCATTTCTGTTCTTTTCTATTACATTCATCAAAGATTAATTCAACATGTACTCCCTAAAGCACAGGTGTCAAACTCCGTTCCAATAGGGCCGCAGCTCTGCACAGTTTAGTTCCAACCCTAATTAAACACACCTGATCAAACCAATTGAGTCCTTCAGACTTGTTTGAAACCTACAGGTAAGTGTGTTGGAGCAGGGTTGGAATTAAACTGTGCAGGGCTTCGGCCCTCCAGGAATTGAGTCTGACACCCCTGCCCTAAAGGGATGCAATTTTTTTTTTTATATTTATTTTTATGGCTAAAGTACTGGAATTCAAGGGTTGCATATTTTTAGTATAGCATACATGCCATCCCAGCCGGCATTTCAACGGTGATTCAACGTTGAATCAACGTCAGGTCTATGGTTAGATCAACGTTGAATTACCTTTCGATTTTGCAAATTGGATCAACGTTTATATAGTGACGTTGTTTCACCGTCGGACCACCACCGGTGATTCACCGTTGAAATCACAACGTTGTTTCACTCTAACCTTCTTCATGGGTGAATTGTGGTCGTTTTGTAGACGTTGAATGAAGGTTGAATTACCTTTCGATTTTGCAAATTGGATCAACGTTGATACCGTGACGTTGTTTCACCGTCATACATTTCAACGTAAGTTAAATAGAAATTACATACAACGCAAAGTCCATAAATATAGCAAACAAATTTTTACTAATAAAAAATACACGACACAAATACACAACTTAGTCTGTGTATCAATTTATTTAATACACACCTCATTATTTCAATTATTCTAAATATACAGCAACATTTACAGCATACATAGTTCATTAAAACCATGCAGGTTACTATACATGCTGTACACTCAAATACAGAAAAAAGGCATACAATTAAATAGTCACTTTTTAATTAGGTTTCATGAATTAAAGTTAATGTTTACAAACATGAACAAAGAACAAATACTTGTACAGCATTTATTAATCATTTAATTAATTGAAATATGTCCCGATGCTATTAAAATCAAAATGTATGCTTGTTAACATTAATGCACTGAGCTGACATGAACTGTACTTTCTTTATATGAAAGATGCTTCATTGCTCTTTGTTCATGTTAGTAAATACATTAACACTTACTAATACAACCTTTTTGTAAAGTGATACCGTCTTCAGAAAGACAGATACTAACTAAATTAAACTAAGTAACTAAACTACGTTTCAATTCTGTTTACAAAGTTTACAAAATACCCATTTTTAAAGTGGCTGCAGTAAAAAAAATAAAATTAAAAACATCACTCACAACTAAGAATCACAAGTGAAATACATTACATCTGTTTGAGGTTTTATAGGTTGAGAGAAACACTTGAGGTAAAAGATGGCACTGGGGACAAAGAATCAAGTGTAAAACACTAAAACATCTATATCAGTCTAGCACTTAAATACATATTTATTTCTCAAACACCAGGTGAGTTTCCTACAAAATCAATAACGAGGTTTGCTATTCCAATTCATTGTGAATGAATGGCTTCACTTTCACAATAGTGAAAACTCATGCTATAATCTAAACCTGACATTACTCCTTCACTTTGCAGGTCTGCATGCTAAATATTTAGTAGTTGTTTTTTTTTTTGTATAAAGTACATCTATTGTGTTTAGCATTACTGCAGCAAAACTGAGCACCTGTGACAGTGGAACATAGACAAATATTTCAGTAAATCATCAAGAAAATGTGTAGAATATATGGTTTGATTCTCTCTCACAAACACAACAGTAATAGCAATTTGTTATTCCATTATTATTAGTATCATAAAAATTGCATGTTCACAGGGGTCTTATAATAATGGCTCACATTTGTGAATGTAGGACCACTATTTCACTATTACATGTCACCTTAAGTGTTCATATAGGTTCTGTTATTAATTACTTGTGTCATCCCAGAGACCTGTTAATCTTCAGAACACAAACTAAAATATTTTAGATTAAATGCTCCTCATCCTCTATAGACAGCAATGGTCCCAAGATGGTCATTGTCAAGATAAGGCACAAAACACATTGTCAAAACGTTCCATGTGACTTCAGTGATTTCAACTGTGAACATACCAAGCTCCAACAACACTTTAGTAAGGCAAAACAAAACAGTAAATACAAATGTGTTTGCTTATAACTCTCCCGCATCAGATCAGCGTGTGCGTTTACTGCGAGCAGTATGCACACACAATGACCTGTTGTGGCAAAGGCAAACAAGTTATTTTACAGTACTTACTGTGATTTAACCTTTATGACAAATGTACTGGACCTGTTACACATATCACTATCTTTTATGAACACAAATTTCACTGTAACGGATGCTGTTGTTTTGCTCCAGTTATACCTTTAGAGAACACCGTACTAGTCAGACATCCATACAAAAGCAGAGAGTTTGGTCTTGTGTAGCAGAACTGCAATAGATGTCTGTCTGTCTGTCTAGGCTGACACTGGTTTAGGCCATCAGTATGTCCTTGATGCCCTCAAATGGAGCTTCCAGAAAACCTGCAATAAATGAAATACGAGGTTACAACTAAGTTGGTATCAGCTATTATACAAAGTGAAATTCAAATATTTATTTTTTATTGAATCCAAATTTGTCGCCACACACTCAGGAATATTCAGATGGATGAGTCAAAATGATTAACTAAGAGAAGTGAAGAATTAGGTGTGATATCGTCAGGAAGCCCTTCGCCACCACCGGTGCCAGTATTTCCAGACTTCAAATTTCAGATTCTCGAAAAAATTGCTTTTTTTTTTTTTTTTTAACAAAGGCTGCAGTAAAGAATCATGAAACATTCAACACATCTAATAATTATAAGTTGTTGTAAACCATTACATGTACTGTAAAAGCTGTTTAAAGCTTTTTAGACATGGTTGAGAAAAACTCTAGAAGGAGTAGCACTTCTGCAAAAGTCTGCATGTAGGACAGAGAATTAAAGGGATAGTTCAAAATTTGTATTCTGTCATCATTTACTGACCACATTGAACACAAAAGAAGATATTTTGAAGAAAGCTGCAAATCTATTTAACCATTGACTTCTATAGTATTTTTTTCTACTATGGAGGTCAATGTTTACAGGGTTTTAGTTTTTTTTTTTTTCAGAATAGCCTCTTTTGTGTTCAACAAAATAAACTCATAATGGTTTTAAACCATTTGGGGAGTAAAATGTGAGTAAATTTTCATTCTTGGGTGAACTATCCCTTTCAGTTGGAAAACACCAGAATTCTTAAGTAGACCCTTTTCGCAAGACAGATGATGCATTTCATTTGTCATCTTAATCCTCAAGTTTTTATTATTTAGATTTATTTAAATAGCATGTTTATTTATTTGTTTTAATGACATTTAATAAAAACAACTTCTCAATGACATCACATGTACTGGACCTGCTACACATGTATCACTATTTTTTTTAATACAAATTGCACTGTAACAGGTGCTGTTGTTTTGCTCCAGTAATACCTTTAGAGAACACAGTAGTAGTCAAGACATCCATACAAAAGCCTTGGCGTGGAGTAGCAGAACTGCAGTCTGTCCAGGCTGACACAGGTTTAGGCCATCTGCGTGTTCTTGATGCCCCTCAACTGGACCTTCCAGAAAACTCAGAAAGTTAAAACCCATTACACCTTTTAACTGCTACTATACAAAGTGTAATTTAAGCATTAATTTCTCACTAAATACATATTTGTTCCCCAATACTGTCACATAGTATAACATCACAACATGATTTCACAATAATAATATCAATATAACAAT